CAATGACTTCAAATGTTATACTCCAAATTTTGCTGAGAAGCAAAGATATTGGCATTCCTTTATTCATAGGAAGTAAACTAATAGGCATTAATCTCCAAAATTATGTGGTTTTATTTCTTCAGCTTTTGAGATGTACATTTGGCTTTATTCCCAAATAGAATTTTTTTTTTTCCATTTAGAGTAGAAAGACTTGCAGGAATGAGTTTAAACTAATTTTTAAAATTCAGGTTTTTTGCTCCATTTAAAACAGCTTTATGACCTGTAAAGTAGGATTTAGGATTTTCTTCATTGTAGATGATGGACTTTATGATAAAAATGTAAGTTTTATGAATATTAATGTCAGAAATAGTACTTTCTTCTGGTGTTTGAATTTGATAATGTTACAGAGCATTTATTATTGGATTTATTTTAGTTAACGTGGAATTCTCAAGATGAGTGTTGTACTCTATATATTTTAGATTAGTAAGAAAATTAATGGAAAAATATTTAAAATGATAGTCGGAAAGTTGTAACCTAATGTGTAGAAATAATACATAGGTGTTATTTTTGATAGTGGTTTTAACGCAGTGATGTGAAATAATTAACCTTTTGTCTGTACGTGCCAACTTTTGGAAATTTTTGGAAATGTGCTTAAATATTAAAAATAATTAAATGCTTAGAATTTGAGACTGAGTGCTTATTAGGTACTTTTACATTTATTTACTAGTTGGTGTTAAATCATACATTACACCCTAGAGATTGCTTAGACATTATTTGCTAGGGCTGCCTTTATGCCCTTGAGTTCTAAAAGTGATCATTTTCTTCCTGTAGTTGAGCCACTTTATTAAAACTTATTTTAAATAAAGAAGTCAAAGATTGAACATAGAAAAATTTGCAGTGATTAGAGTGGATCTTTTTTTGTTGTTATTTTTAATGACATCCTCCTAGGAAACGTGGTGTATTTTCACAGATTGTCAAAAACTTTATTTCCAGATTTATTTAGTGTTAGAAATTTTCATTAGCTAGCAAATATTTAGGAAAACATTATACTTCCCTTCTGTTGTTAAAAATGGGCATACATGCGATGTACCTATTTTAAAAAAAAAACGTATTCTTCTTCCTTGTTCTCATTCATACTTAATTTTTTATGCTTAACATTTAAGAAAAGTGTAGATTTTTAACAATGAATCCATATAATATGACCAAAATATACCAATAATCTAATAGTTAATAGAAGCCATACCTTTACTGATAAATCTTTTTCTATTGGGGAAGAGGGAGAAAATCATGCCAGGAAGTATGCTCAGGACTGGGAATACAAGCAACTGAAGGCCTTTCTTTTCTTGGCTTAGTTGTAACTTTTCATTTTCATTAGGATGAACACTTGGGGCAGAGCAGTTGGTGAGAATTTACTTTGCTTCTGTGGCTAAATTGCTTTCTCTTTCCCTATCATCTTAAATGATAGCAGTTTACAGTTTTATAGTCTTAATAACAGTATACTGGTTAAGGAATTTTCAGATTTTTCTCAGTCCTAACAGCTGACATTTGGTATTTTCTTTCCTCTTATGTCCCCACACTTACTGAATTTGAAAACTTCAGGCTCTCGCTTCATTCATAACTGAATGTACATAATTGTATCATTTAGCTTAGGTATTCTTTCCCATGAAAGCAAGATACTGGTATGCAAATCTGATAGTCTTAGGCTTCTAACAATTGTGTTCCTCTTCTTGCTGACCCTTTTCTGTTTTAGCCCCCAAATTACACTTTTTCTCAAGATCAATTTCTAGTATTTCCAATATATAAAATGAACATTTTTGACATCTTGGGAACCTATGAATTCTAGAAATCTATATAGTTTTATTTTCAGGAACTCCATTAAGTTTCCTTACTTTCATTTTACTTAAGAATATAGCCCTATAACACTTTTTGCTATCATAAAGTGTTTTGTACAATGTGATTATTAAAAGAAATAAAAATCATTTGGTTGATATAAATTGTAATTGCTTTTGACATTAATTTGAATTTGTAGTTGTGGTCAGATGACTAATGCAAAAAAAGTTCAGAAGAAGTAAATATGAACAATTGTTTTTCATTTTATGGTGTTGGTTTCTTTTAAACAAAATGTAATAGAAGAAGGAATATGTATCCCTTGTATACTTCTTGCAGACATCCTGTGACATTGAAAAGTATGAAATAAAGATATTTTTTAAAGATTTTATTTATTTGAGAGAGAGAGCACGAGCAGGGGGGCAGGGGCAGAGAGAGAGGGAGAAGCAGACTTTCCGCTGAGCAGGGAGCCCAATGGGGGACTTGACCCTAGGACCCTGGGATCATGAGCCGAAGGCAGATGCTCAACTGACTGACTGAGCCACCCAGGCACCCAAAATAAAAGACATTTTTGACCCCATATTATATTCACATTTATTTATAGGATCCTCTGGGGGGAAATGGATAATTGTCAATGTATTTTTTTTTAAAAAAGATTTATTTATGTATTTTGGAGAAAGAGAAAGAATGTATGAGTCGGGAGGGGAGCAAAGGGAGAGGGAGAGATAGTCTTAAGCAGATTCTGCGCTGAGTGTGGGAGTCTGATGTGGGGCTCGATCTCAGGACCCTGAGGTCATGACCTGAGCCAAAACCGAGTTAGCGGCTTAACCAACTGCACCACCCAGGTGCACCAATATATTCTTTATTTTATTTTATTTTTTTAAAGATTTATTTATTTATTTGAGAGAGTGAGAATGAGAGAGAGAGAGAGCACATGAGAGGGGGGAGGGTCAGAGGGGAAGCAGGCTCCTCACTGAGCAGGGAGCCCGATGCAGGACTCAATCCCGGGACTCCAGGACCATGACCCGAGCCGAAGGCAGTCGCTTAACCGACTGAGCCACCCAGGCGCCCCAATATATTCTTTATTTTAAAAGAAAAAATGATGTAAGTTCCTAAATCCTTTGGGCTATATCCTCCTTCACCTTGGTTCAAAATCCTTCACAGTCTTGGTCCATGTCAACCTTAAGTACCACCCCCTTAACTCTTGCCATGTTTTCCCATGGCAAGGTTTTGTCGAGTGGCTATAAAATGTACACTAAGGGAGTATATAAAAGGGATGTTTAACTCACAGGAGTTTAGAGTTTAGATTTGTTTCTGAAAGATGTGGGAGTGAGAAAATGGGAAGATCCTTGCAGGTGTATATAAATATAAGGAAGGAAATAAAAGCACTTTAGTTTTTCATAAGGACCAGGTGGTGGTTGAGGATTCCTGGGAGATCAAGAAACTAACAAAGTGGTGAACTCTCTCATTGTAAAATTTAAGAAAGAAGAAAATGAAACAGTTGAAATATTAAGTACTGATATATTAACAAATCTTAAATTCATCTGCTGTTTAAATTTTTAAGATATAAAATTGGTTCTGTGATTCACGTTAAAATAATTCACTTACCAAATGGAGAACCATTGGCAAATTTCTTCAAATGACTGAACCAGTTTAAAAGAAATACAGATAATGGGAGTAAAACATGATGTTGCATAAGAATGTGACACTGCACCATTTACATTGTCCATGCTTTTGAAAATTATTCTATATGGTATGTTTTTAAAAATATATGGCATACAGTATTCTAGATAAATTGTGATAAAACATCATTAGTTTAATATCTGTACAAGCAATATTATAGTTTATGTAATATTTAAGACTTTTGTTTGAAGTTTATTATATATACTTTGACCTATAAAATTTACCCATTTGATACTGTAGAAGTTTTCAAGTCTTGCTGCTCTTCAAGGATGAATCCACCTGGTTTGAGTTGAAATGGCTCCAAGGGTGCATGACTTAACATACCTACCCCTCTTTAATGCATGTCTCCTTCCACTGTCCTTCATTAGTTGTCGTGCTAAAAGAAACCGAGCTGGTTTTACATTCTTTATTTGCCATTTTATAGTCCAGTTATTTTATGCAGTATAGAATATCTGCTATTCAAATTGTTAAATAAATTTTGCTATAATGCTCTTGTTCTTCTTGCTTTGCCTTCTTAATTTATGTACTATCAGAAAATATAATAAAACCCTGCAAACATTACATTCCCGTTAAGTTGCAATGAAAGCAAATTATAAAGGGAAATGGTTCTTGCCTTTATAAAGCTTATAAAAAGATCATTTTGAAAAATTCATAGAACTTAAATAAATATCATCTTGCCTAAAATTCTACCTTAATCCTAATAATCTTGATGAATAAGTGACAACACAAAAATAAAAAAGTATTTCCAATAGTAATAAATAGGACATTCTAGGCATCATGTTAGGGCCCGTCTTTTTAACATTTTATTTCAGAGAGTATTAATTTAGAAGAATCTAGGTTCATAGTCATGTCATATTTAGTATAAGCACATGGTGATCAATGAACATAACAAGAGTAACAACAGTCTTAGACACAGTATGTGCCAGGCACTGTGCTAACTGCTTTAAATGTGTTCTATCATTTATCAAGCCAGGGCATGGAAGGTGTGATCTTTTGGTTTGGAAGAGTGCAGAAAGTCCCTGTAACACAAAACTTAACACAAAACTGGATTTAATGGATAAACTTAAAAACCTGGCTCCTCCTTTGTTTTAATGTGTTTTCAAAACTTACATCCAGGCTATTCCATTTATGACTGTTTCAGTTCAATCATAGTATCATTTTTTAAATTGTTATTTTAGTTCTTAAACATGGCAGGTATACTGTTCTTTTAGTACATGTTGAATATGCTAAAAATTCCAATTAAATGTATAGTAGAATAATAGAGAACTGTTATTTTCTTTTTACTTTGAGTGAAAATTTAGTGTGGCCCATGATACAGAAATAGTACAACATAAAATGGGATTTTTATAGCTCTTTATTTAATAATGTAGAGCAACCTAATATCAGTTGAATTTTTTTGTTTTATGGTACTAGTTGCTTAAAGAAAATATGAATCAGTTCTGCATTAGTTTTCTTCATTAAAAACAAACAAATGATTATGTTACACCAGTTTGATTTGTTTTGTTTTCTAGGTGCAACAATCGAACACAGTGTATAGTAGTTACTGGGTCAGATGTATTTCCTGATCCATGTCCTGGAACATACAAATATCTTGAAGTCCAATATGAATGTGTCCCTTACAGTAAGTATGAAGTTTGTGATTTTCACTTTTTCCAGCATTCCTCCTTGATGCTGAAAGACTACACATGTGAAAGAAGCATATGTTTATGGCCTACGAAACCATTATGCATGCAGAGCACTAACAGACTTGGGCCTCCAATTAGCTTCATGAAGTGTGGAAGGAAGCCATAGTGTGATGCTGGCCAAGTGTCTGTCTGTGTTCTTAAGTGTTTGGCTTTTAAGACTAGTGTTTTTCCAGAAAACAAACTTGAATTAGCTATTCAGTAGGGCAGATCGAAATCTGTACTTTTGCCCAATACCAGTTGCTGACAAATTGGTTTGGCTCACAGTTTTCTAAAGAAGGAATTGACTTCGGTTTTAATCGTGAGCTACTTGAATGGCTACCTGCTGTTGTGGTAAAAGCTACCATTGTAGTAACTGAGGCAAGTGCTTTCCTTTTTGTTTCCTTGTCCTTACAGGAGCATTTCTTTTACCAGATTCAGTGTCGAAATCTTAAGAATAAATAAAATAGATACAACCAAACCTTACATATACTTCTCTTTTTAATTTGACAACATCCATTAGATCCTGTAGAGGGATATTTAAAATTCAGGTGGGAGTTTCGTAAGTAATCTTTAGCTAATGCTCTAATTCTGTGTAGTTTTCCTCCTAATTTCAGAATTCATACTGCTAAATTGTATCCTGCACTTTCAGTAGAAAAAAGCATTTTAGACAACCAAAAGTTTCAATATGTTAGGTAATTTTCATAAGCTATTGTTTAATAGTGTTCTTGTCTTGTTCTTACTTTTTTAAATTGGAAAAAAGAGGGATCCTGTAACCTTGATTCATAGGCATTTGAATTGAAAAGTTTTTCAGCAGCAATTTAATGATTTGAGAAAGTTTTGTACACTTCCCTCCTTAAAAAAGATGACTTTAAACTAAATAATGAAATTGCCTTTTCCAGAACCTCAAAAGCTAGATCACTATTCCTGATAGATTTCTATGTCCAAACTATCAATATTTCTTAAACGAAAGGGCTGAATTCAGATAAATATAATATGTCCATTATGATAGTAATATATTCTTACACATTCTGTGAAGGTGCGGTCTCTCTCTTCTCTGCCCACAGTTTTGATAAATTGTTTTTTTGTGGGTATCAGTTAAAGGCCAAACACAGATTATCTTTTCTTTTCATCCCTGCTCTGTGTTCCTGTGTTACTGTGAAATGGATGCTTTTTATGTTTTCAGTATTTTCTATACCATTTGTAGGATTGGAAGCCTACTGAGTGCACTGATCTTTATATTATTTCTCTTGTATGTAGTGTTGGTGGCTTACGTAATCATTCTCCTGTGCCACTTAGAGGAACATTGTATTCTTTTGAGCTAACCAAAATTTTGTTCCGTAAAGTCGCTTTCATTTGAATTTATCATGGTTTTTGTCTTCAAATTAGAAAAGGAATACAGCATCCATTCCCAAACAGTGGAATCAGTCAGAGCTGCCAAGAATTGTCTTTCTGGAGCCAGTTCCTGTAACCTAGTCTATAGACCAAGAACAGTGTTAAGCAAACATTATTTTCAGACTCTTAAGTTATTTCTTGTGCTGTTTTAGAAAGGAAAATGTGGATATCTTCTGGAACATCTAACTTTCAAAATTTTACTTTTTCAGTTCTCCAGAAGTATTGTATATTGTGCACTTAACTTGCCAATAGCTATACGCAGAGAAGTATTTGTTCTTTTTAGTTTTTGTCCTTAAAAAAACAAAAACCTGTAATTAATTTGCTGTTACCTTTCTAGATGTTTGCACGAGGCAGAAATAAGTCTGGCATTTTTTTTCAAATTATTCCATGCTAAAGAATAGAATTATAATTCCTATATACTGTATAGTAGTGACACACTATATATTATATGATTTTCACTAATATTAAAATTTAATGCAAAGGCTCTTTTTAAATTGCTTTGATATTTGGTAGGATTGTGTAGTTATTTATCTCTTTTCCTCATTTTCCTCTCCTTTTGTTTCTTTATGTTTCTGTTATACCCATCCCTTATACTTTAATTTTAAGCCTGTATTTTTCCCTCCCCCTTGTTTTAATAGTGTTTTTGTACTTTGTATCATTTGCAAACCCCTTTTAAACTTTATGTAGTTGATAAAAATTGTCACTATAACATTTATTATATGTCTTTTACCACCTGGCTTTATGCCAGTTTCTATCCAGAGCAAATGCTGTAGGAGTTTACACATCTGAAAAACATTTCCTCCTTCTTAAAAAAATATCCAGAAATTTCCCATGGTATTTGAAAATTTTATAATAAATTAACAGAATTTATTAGAAATGCCATTGTTTGTTTTACTTTTTATGTTTATAGACAGGCACATGTAATATTACATGTGACATTTATACCTACCCAGATAATGCCTGTGTCAAAAATGTGTGTTTCCTGGTTATCCTTTATCATTAACAGAAGTGTTAGTATTTGAATGTATATGTGTTTAAAAGAAGTGATAAAGCTCTTATAGGATAAAGGAAAATAATTATTAGAATTTCATACCTTACAAGCAAGATTTGGTTTGATATTTGTGCCCTCTTTTTCAAATTATCATTAAATTATACAAATTATACCATAATTCTAGCTGTAAGTTTTGTTTGATGAGAAAAAAAATAACCATTACTATTAATTAAATATTTTTAATGAATCAATGTGAGATTATTCAAAGTGAAATAGTGTGTCACTTCAGATACAGAGTATGTAGGCTTAAGTTTCTTTGGGTCAATTTCGTGTCTTGCACATCCATGTAGTCTTCCACTGATGTTAGTGGGTCGTGTATTTATGTTTGGTCTATAGAATAGTAAATGTATTGTTATGAATTAATTCATACAGTCTTTTAAGACAAGTTGCAATATACATTTGGCATGTGATGAAGAATGCTAATTTCATTAATTTTATTGTATTTTTATATTCTCCTGGGTTGATGGAGTTTTGGCTGGTTTGACAGATCTGTCCTTTGGGTTTTCATAAAAATCATAATGTAAGGACTTTTGTTTTCAGTATCCACATCTTATGTGATTCATCAATCATCAAAGGTTTTAATTATTTTTTATTTTTACATTTGGGTGTTACTTCTGTTTTCATCAGAACTATAAATTATACAGTTTCTATACATTTTCTTTTCTTTAAACAATCGGTTAAATCACAAAGAAAGACTTCCCTATTTAATATTTTGCCAAGCAAATGCACTGTCATTTTAGTGCCTCACATAATAAAGCCTGGCCATTTTCAGTTAATGGAAAACAAATATATTTTATACATTCTGTATTGAACTTGTTTTAAGTTCTGTTTTGAATATGTAACATATTTTAAAATGTATTATTCCCATCCTTCACATTTAATTGATTGACTCAGTAAAATCATTCTTTCCTAAAAAAAAAGAATACAGCTGTATATAAATACAGTCTGAGAAGTCAAAACACTAACGATCTCTCGTATCCTTACTTTCCCACCACGCCCTTCCGTTATCGATTCTAAGCAGGTATAATCTTGCTCTTCACTGAGGAATAGGTTTAGACCTACTGGTTTATAAAAAAGAGCTGTTTCATATCAGTAACACCAAACTTAATTTTTACTGGATATAATCAGAATTACACATTATAGGGCAAGTATGTTTCCTGAAAGTGGTCAAATAGACCAAGTTGGATGGGGAGGTGGTAGCTTAATGCAGAGGCTTGTATGCTATTCCTCTGGCAAAAATATTTGTACGGTATTTCTCCCTGAGGTATTCCAGGAGGTCAGCATTTAATATTGAATTATTGTAATTTTTAAAAAATTAATCAAGCCAAGACATCTTAATGAAATGTGCAACTACGGTATCTTTGAGTAATCAGTTTGGAGATAGAGTATTAGCACACCCTAATGCATTTTAATAAGGAAAGAGGGAGAATCACAGACATTAATCTGGTCACTTTATGAAATTCAGGCAGCATACTTCAAAGCCTACATACGATCTAAAATAGCGTTTTATGGTTTGTAATTATTAGAATTCTATTTACCAGCAAGAATCTTGTATAGCACCCTTCCTAACTGTGTAATCCGTGTCTTTAGACTTCTTGAAGGGGAGGATTTTTTTTTTTCTCATTTAACTGTACTAATCAGGTTTGTTTTATGAAAGCATTTACCTTTTATGAGGTCTGTGGAGTCAAGGTATTTGCTTTGAATGCTTGGTATGATTGTTGCATGCATGCCAGCTTGCTTTCTGTGTATGTTGATGATGGTAGACAATGTCATAATAAGCTAACCATAATTCTTTCTTCCTTTTTCTCCTTGCCTACTGTGCTTGCTTTTTCCTTGTATGTATTTTGCTTACTTTTTTTAAAAAAATAGACTTAATATTACAAGTTTGAGATATGTAATGTACGGAATTTAGTAAGAATTTTATAATGTAAAGTATATATAAACCTAAGTAAGGAATTTACTAATGCTTAGTGGGGAAGAAAGGCACTACGTTACCTCACCCTTCAAAATCCCTACTGGGGTTGCAGGGGAGATTTATCTATTCCTGAAAAGGAGGCATTTTTTCTTAAGATGGATTTTTCTAGAAATAGAAAATAATAAAAAAATTGAAAAGTACTAAGATGCATAATTATATATTTGTTCTTACATGAATGTCTTTGGGAAAATGTTAAAATATAACCATATCAATATTCATGAAATTTGACCTAAGCGCCAAAATTGAGTTGTCATTTTTGTAATATATTTTCCTGTTATGCTTACCTGATTTTAGTCAATTTAATAATGAGTTCGTAGGATAATATAGTATGGGGATGATACACCTTTGCATGCATTTGTGTCTGTAGCATACATATATAAAGTAAAACTGGATAAAAATGCTGAGTAACTTTGGAAAGGCAAGAGTATATATACCATGCATTAGTGAAGAGTTTCATTATTTATTCAGGTACACTAAGTGAAGCAACATGCCAACATATTTGTATTGCCTCCTTAATCTACTAAAATGATTGATCCATGTTCTTTTATGTAACTTTAGAATCTTTCTCCTGCTAGGTTTTCCTGTTGTGTGTTTCTCTTTATCCAAAGTAGTACAGCTCTTATTCTTCCTATATTTAGCATCTATTACGAATTCGGTCTTAGACTAATAGTCTATTTATTTTAATCTTTTTTCTTTTTTCCTTGCACTTTTTTTTTGTTTTCCTTCCGATGCTTAAAATAGAAGTGGAGCAAAAAGGTAAATAACGTATACAGTCTGAACCCCAGCTCCCTGTTATGTGCCTTATGGATGTCACCTCCTCCCTTCCCTCCCCCCACAACACTCCTGACATTAAAATAATCAGCAGGATCTCATAAATGCACCTCATAAAGAAGTCGACTGTTTACAATGAAATTATATGACTGCTAAATCTGGTGATGGGGTAAAAATTCTGAAGTCGGCGAGGGGGAGCTGCTCCTTTCTGTGTTTCTTTTTCACCCTTTATCTCTTTTTCTGACACCCTTGGATATTTTATTATTAAAGTGTCATCTTGCCTGGCTTCCAGAACCCTCTCCATAGCATGCCATGGTTACAGGGTCTCCTGGTCGTTTCATCACTGCTTTCCTTGTATTTACTTTTCTCTGTTCCTAATTACATTTTCTGACTATTTATGTTTCTTCAACTGAAGCACCTTTGTTTTCAGTCTAACTTTTATAAAAGTTCTAAATAAGCCTTCACATTGGGTTTTTGTTGTATTTCCTTTATTTTGGTGTTTTGCTTTTGAGGGTTTATACGTGGGCTAGGGGAGGGAGGGTACAAAGTTGGGACTAAAATAACGTACTTTGTACACTGTTACGCACAAAGCTCAAAGTTTTAAAGTATAAATTACCACATTATAAGATTAAAAACACATAGCAAAAAATTCACATTGTCAGCTCAGTTATGAATGATCTTAAACTTAGGTTTGTATTTGTGAAAATCAACCCCAGCCAATTTGTATGCTGGTACATTGATTATTGTAACTTGAGGAAAGAAGGGTGGTACTTGTATTAAGTATAAATTTTGGTAAAATCTAATGTTAATAAAACACATTTTTTCTCTTTTGATTTATGATCATTAAAATTTGTGTTTGCCTGTTTAATTTTTTAACTTGGCTTAATTATTGTCTTTTCTCTGTGCTGTTAGTTTTTGTGTGCCCTGGGACCTTGAAAGCAATTGTGGATTCACCATGTATATATGAAGCTGAACAAAAGGCAGGTGCTTGGTGCAAGGACCCTCTTCAGGCTGCAGATAAAATTTACTTCATGCCCTGGACTCCCTATCGTACTGATACTTTAATAGAATATGCTTCCTTAGAAGATTTCCAAAATAGTCGCCAAACGACGACATACAAACTTCCAAATCGAGTAGATGGTACTGGATTTGTGGTGTATGATGGTGCTGTCTTTTTTAACAAAGAGAGAACAAGGAACATTGTGAAATTTGACTTGAGGACTAGAATTAAGAGTGGAGAGGCCATAATTAACTATGCCAACTATCACGATACCTCACCATATAGATGGGGAGGGAAGACGGATATCGACCTAGCAGTTGATGAAAATGGCTTATGGGTCATTTACGCCACTGAACAGAACAACGGAATGATCGTTATTAGCCAGCTAAATCCATACACTCTTCGATTTGAAGCAACGTGGGAGACTGTGTATGACAAACGTGCTGCCTCAAATGCTTTTATGATCTGCGGCGTCCTCTACGTGGTCAGGTCAGTTTATCAAGACAATGAGAGTGAAACAGGCAAGAATGCAATTGATTACATTTACAATACCCGATTAAACCGAGGAGAATATGTAGATGTTCCCTTCCCCAACCAATACCAGTATATTGCTGCAGTGGATTACAATCCTAGAGATAACCAACTCTACGTGTGGAACAATAACTTCATTTTACGATATTCTCTGGAATTTGGTCCACCTGATCCTGCCCAAGGTAAGAATGTTTGCTTGCTAATGCTGATGTCTTTAAGCTTACTTTTAAAAGACTTGGGAGTTCTTTTCCTGCAGGTTTCCTTCTCCTTTTCATAGTTAAAGCTCAAAGGATAATGTGATATTTCATGCTGTCACATAATGTGTACATTTTAGCCTTAGTTTGGCCTATTTTCCTTCTCTGAATTTTTTCATTTACATTTTGATGACGAAAAACTGGCATCATTGGTCAGTTTACTGTTTTTCATTGCTAAAAATATAATACCAGCTACAAACCTGTTAGCTTTGTTTTCTTTTTCTTTTTTTTTTTCTTCTCCCTGACTTCTGAATTGATTACAGTCTATGTGCAGACCTTTTAACTTCTTGGCGCCAGTGGTAAGGGAAATGTGTGTTAGGAAGTCCCAGGAGAATTGCTAGGCTTGATGTACAATGTCAGGCATAAGTGTTCTGACGTTTTGGTGTCTGCTCTCTGGGTAGGAGAGGGAGTCATCCAACATCTTCCTAGCAAAATTACACATTTTTATTTCCTGATAAATTAGTGATGGTTTTAAGTAAATATTTCTGTGACTTTAACTGTCACACATAGACTAAGCATTAAATGATCCCCAGTGATGATTTATGAAGATGGATCAGCTAACATTTTCGATTTGTGTTCTCTTTAGGTATCTTTATGGAGGATCATTACTTTAGAAAGTAATGTAAAATCTCTGGAAATATATTTTAGTTGATCAAGTGAATTCAGTTCTGTGGGAAACAATTTATGAGGATAAATTAAATGAATATTTCATTAAAACAAGCTTACCTCATACTCATGATAAAAGTAAACTATTCATATGTTGTTACAGAGCTTGTACTAATTATAAGTCATTTATATTTGAACAGTAATATTTGTGTTTTAAAGATCTGAATATTTAAATTTACTGAGTTAGTTGGAATTTTCCAATTATTGAGTTACTTGAAAATTTTAAGAACCAGGAAGTTCTTTGGAGTGATTAAATCAATCCCTTCAACAAGGTGAAAAAGAAATTAGTATCTTTTTCTATCAAAGCAGTACATACACTCTGTACACTAAAACATAATTACATGTACCTAAATGTATTTTAAGATATACTATTACTGGGCACCAGAGTGGCTCAGATGGTTAAGCGTCTGCCTTTGGCTCAGGTCATGATCCCGGGGTCATGGCATCAAGTCCCGTGTCGGGCTCCCAGCTCAGCGGGGAGCCTGCTTCTCCTTCTGCCTCTCTCTCTCTCTCTCTCTCTCTCACTCTGTCTCTCATGAATAAATCTTTAAAAAAAAGAAGATACACTTATTACTAAGTTCTAAATATTGTAATATGGTCAAGACCTTAAAAGTGAAAGTCACAACTTCTTATAGTTGAATTTCTAATTTGAGTCATTATAGTATACCAAAATATGTGATTTTTATTTAAAAAGTAAGAGAATAATGACATACTGACTTAGTGCAAGACCCCTTTAATTCATGTATGTCTGGAATTTTTTGCCTTAAAATTACAGTAGTAATATCCATTGTTAAATTTTTAGCAATTAAATCTTTTAAGGATAATATCATAGAATCATTTACTTTTTAAATTTTTTTAAAGATTTATTCATTTATTTTAGAGAGAGAGAACACGAGTGGAAGGGGCAGAGGGAAAGGGAGAGAGAATCTCAAGCCGACTGCACTGAGTGCGGAGTCTGACATGGGGCTCTATTTCATGACCCTGAGATCACGACTTGAGCTAAAACTAAAAGTTGGACATTTAACCGACTGCGCCACACAGGCACCTCAGAAACATTTACTTTTAAATTTAGACATATCTTTTTTTTTTCATAAGACCAGCAATTTGGGATGTTTCTTGTATCTCAGCTGTTTTTCTAAAAGCTAGTACCATCCTTCATCCTTTATCCTGTAGGTTTGTCAAAGGCAAAACTTCAGGAACTGACAAAATTTGACATTGTATATTGATTGTTGTGTTAATTTTTTTGTAACCTGTGTTACTCTCACAGCTGTTACATTTGTTTTGGGCGGCAATAAATCTCTTCCCCGTCCATTAGGAGAAAGAGAAATAAAATACTTTTAAAAATGGAAATTCATAATCAGGCAACACCTGAAAGATTGTGAATAAATTGAGTACAGACTCAATTCAACAAAGAATCATTGCCCTTGTCTACTTGTCACAAAGTACTTCGTGACTACAAGATGAGTAATAATGTCATTTTCCATATGTGGCTTATATTCTAGTAAATAATTTGATCCATTTCAGATGAAAAAGTCTTTGATAGTTTAGATATTTTTTGAAAGAACAGTTACCAGCTTTGAAAATGGGGAACTTAGACATATTTAGTAGTTGTGTTCCTACAACTGTGTTTTGTTATCCAATATACTTACTCATTCTTAAATATTCCCAGAAAATAAAAATTCATATTGGCCCCTAATTAAACCCTTAGTGATACAGAGTTTTATATGACCTAAATCTCTCTTGCTGCTGTTTGAACCATATTCTCTTTCCCCTCTCTTGTAATTTATCTTCATGTGCTTTTAGAGACTCCTGTCTCTCTCATCCAAGATCTATGCTGATATCTATATGCATGTAGATGGGGCCTTGCAGAACTATTCTGGCCCATCAATTTAGGTCAAATCAATAAGCCACTGTCAGCTTTTCAGAAGCAAGATCCACAAAACTGATAGAACAGAGCAATCAGAATTCAGGTCTTCAGCCGTCATAAAGCAATGATTAACTGGTTTGGCTGTAATTTAGTCTTATGTCCTGGATTTTCTACTGTGTATGTTTCTAAGGTATACGTCGTGCTGTAAAATTATCATTCCTTTCATTTTTTGTTGTGGACTGTTTCATAGTATATTAGCTTCAATACTTTTCCCCATTTATAAACCCAAACCTTTGCCTTCCTAACAGGGCAAGTATATTATTTCTTTGCTCTAATCATGATTTTCAAATACATCTTTTTTTTCTTTCAATCTTTAGCCTTATGTTATCTCTACACAGTTCAGTCACTCCATTTCTCTAAACTAGTTCTGTTTTTCCTTTTTACATTCTCCCTCTCTAAAGTAGACTTAGGAAAAACGCTTTCGGTCCTATTTTAACTCTTTTCTGTTTCTTAATCTGAATTGCTTTATATTTACTTTGCCTGCAAATTTGATGTCCCAGATACCAGTTTTCTTAAAGATTTTATTTATTTATTTATTTGAGAGAGCACACACAAGCAGAGGGGCAGAGGGACATGGAGAAGCAGACTCCCTGCTAAGCAGGGAGCTGACATGGGGCTCGATTCCAGGACCCTGAGATCATGACCTGAGCCGAAGGCAGACACTTAACTGAGCAACCCAGGTGCCCCTCCCAAATATTATTGAAAAAAATATTGTGTCTTGGGTTTTGACAGTTCCTGAATATTTGTCTTAGAATAATTATGAAGTAAGACACTTCAGTAGTATGAGGAAAAATTTGTATCAAGAGAACTACTTAGGTTTATTTATTTGGGAAGTGTTGAGCATAGAATACACATTTCTTGAAACATCTTTCCACTGATAATGATTGCTCAATAAAAGATAATCGTTATTTTTAGACATTGAATAAAGGTAAATTTAATGAATACACATTTTTGCCTTTCCAGGCTACAGACTCTTTGTAACTAGAGTTCATTCAGTGAACAATGAGTGAGTTCTTGGACCTGGGTGAGGGAAGTACTACCCTTAGCATAAATGGGTTCTATTGGTAGTAAGCACTACCATAGTAAATTGAAGCATTCTGTATGTGTTTGTTGAAATTTTCAAGGGTAGTTCTTAAATATGTTTATTAGCATTTTATTAGTACTGTTTTGGGGTCTCTATACTCAAATGACAAAGGTAGGCAGAATGCTAAGTCACTTAATCTGGATGCTTGATACGACATTCTGATAACTCTGGGACAGAACTTTGTAAAATAAGGTTTAGATTTGAGATACAATTCTATTGTGAATTGCCATGTTTTCTATTACCATTTATAGGATAGTCTTGAGTTTTGAATCTTTTGCCACATAAGTTAGATTATGAAACTTTTTATCAACTGTTGCTCTAGTATTTTATGTTATCTTCCCACACCTTTTCTTGTTTTAGAGATTTACACAGAGAGGAATCAGTTAAATGCCCCTAAATAAGGGCAGATTGCTTTGTGGGATGCCATACTTTCCCAGAGTCTGAAAATCTTTTGCCTAGAAAAGTAAGATCATAACATTCAAGAGTATGGCCAGGTGACCTTGAACAAATTGCCTAACCTTCTCCATGGCTCAATTTTCTCATCTGTAAAAGGAAGATAATCATAGTACCTACTTCATGGGGTTGTGGTAAAGATTAAATAAGATGATCCGATGATCCATGAATGGTGATTAGCGTAGCATCTGGTACGTAAATGCTGAATAAGTGTAGCTTTTTATCATTATCAGATGCCCTGTTGGGACCTGTCTTCACTTATGGAAGAAATGTTAATTTTTAGAAACGGCCTCTACATTTGTGGCTTCATCATTAGAAAAACATGCTTTCTGTAAAGTTGCTGAACGTCAGCTTTGCAAAATTCCAGAAATTCTGATTGTCTTTCAAAAGGGTTTAATTTTGCTACTTAGAAGTTTACTTTCATGTTTTTCATGATGTCCCAATATTTCATTGATTTATCTTTGAAGAAGATCTATTCCCTTTAAACTTTTGACGAACAAAGAGCGCCTGAGTGGCTCAGTCGGTTGGGCGTCTGCCTTGGGCTCAGGTCATGATCCCAGAGTCCTGGAATCGAGTCCCGCATCGGGCTCCCTGCTCGGCGGGAAGCCTGCTTCTCCCTCTCCCTCTGCCTGCATCTCTTCCTGCTTGTTCTCTCTCTCTCTATGTCAAATAAATAAATAAAATCTTAAAAAAAAAACTTTTGATGAACAAAAGGTGAAAATGTATGAAATTTATTCTCAAAAACACATACAAACAGGCTATAGCATGTTGCAAGAAATTTTGTGCATATACTAGAGGTCATTTTATTACCTACCTTGACTCAGTTATTATGAATCTTTCCTGGTGCTTAGCTAACAGATCACTAATTGTAGTACTGTTAAGACCTATTTCAGTGGCTTAAATACTTACTAATTAGTGCAGTGTCAAGAGATACATAAGATGGTGTGTCTCTAAACTGTGTTGCTCTGTCCTTTTCATTTTTGCTCCGATTCCCCACTACTCTCTGAGATTTGATTCAGAGGCAGTCATTTGACACTTCTGTAAAAAGAGTGTGATGCTTTTGACAAATGTTAATTGAGAAAGCCCTGAAAGCCTGGCTGCATTGTAATCAAAAGAAAATTACAGAGGTTTAACAAGATGTCAAGCAAGTGTTTTACAGAGAAAGATAGACAGGTTTGAATAGGTTTCTGCAGCAGCTGGCTAGGCATGATGTTTGACTAATGTGCACAGCATCTCTCATATGGTCAATAAATTATGCCCTGGAAATAAAACACATGATTAAGAAATTTCTCTTGAGATAGAAGGGAAAAAGGTGTAGAAAGAGTATGGTATGCATTTATTGACCAGAAGAAGTTTCTCACTCCTAAAGAACTAGAAACATGTGCACACACTACTTTTTGAGATGGACTTAGGATATTCTGTCAATAACAACTACTTATGGACCAGAACTTAAAATAATAAACATATTAGTGATAACGTGAACTTGTTTTCTAAGTTTTAATGTTCTGGTTTGTTTCTTACATTATAGAGAAAGCATAAAAAAAGTTAATGTTTTTATCAGACTACTTGAAAAAATAGTTCTTTTTAATATGCTGTACTCTATTAAATTTAAAGCATCATAGATAAAGGTTTCAAGAGCCAGTTTTCTATAAATGTTGATAAAACTTTAGTGTGATCACTTAGTAGATTTTAAATGATAAGATTTAAGTTTTACTGACAGAATTTTAGTTGTTTAAACTAATTAGATGGCAATTAATGAAGGAAAATATTAAGCTAAATTATTTTTTTAACCTAGTAGATTAAACAGTTTGAAAGTAATGCTGGAAATCAAAAAGAACCTTTTAAAATAATTTCAAATGTGTAACGGTAGTTTCTTATAAAGTGTCCGTATGGTTTGTAAGGTTGGTTTCAGATTAGGCCTGATTTGATCTAACCCGTTTTCTTGCATTATAATCCTCTGACCAGAACTAGTTGCTTTTTCTACTACATTTTCAAATGTAAATGTGCCTAACGAAGCCTCAGATGTTTTCTTACTAACACAGCACAAGCATGCCGAGCTATTCTTCTGTTTGGATCTAATCAGGCATGCTCAAAAATCTCTCAAGCAAGAATGGCTGCTGGGTGGAAAGATGTCACAGTATTTATTTTCCTGCAAGATATAGAGTGGGTGACTTTAAATTTTCTATTGTCCTAACTATATGTAATTGTCAGATTTTTATTGATGCTTTGAATTTGATTATTTATAGGGTATGCATTTATATTAAAAAAGAATTTTTCTGTGTTGTTTCATAGTAACATATACTTGGTATAGACACTGAAACTATTTAAAACTGTCCTTCAGTTTTTGTTGGATGATAAATGATGAAATATACTTAAGCTGTATTATCAAATATGTCATTGAGAAGTAGACTTAAGACAATGAGAGTCATACAGAAAACTGTACAGTAAAGCCTAAACTTCCTTTACTTAGCCAACAATATGAATAAAGTGGAACAAATGAAGGGATTTATTCTTTCTCCAACCTTACTGGTGTTCTCACTAATTCTCATGTTGCTGGTTTGGGGGTAGTTGGATGGTGCGGGGTTTTGGGTTGTGTGTGTGCATATACATATTCACGTGTGTGCCTGTATGTGAGTGCAGGTGTGTGTTTGAGATTAATATACTCATCTTTTCTCCATAGTGCCTACCACAGCTGTGACAATAACTTCTTCAGCTGAGCTGTTCAAAACCACAGTATCAACCACAAGCACTACTTCACAGAAAGGCCCCATGAGCACAACTGTAGCTGGATCACAGGAAGGAAGCAAAGGGGCAAAACCACCTCCAGCAGTTTCTACAACCAAAGTTCCTCCTGTAACAAATATTTTTCCCCTGCCAGAGAGATTCTGCGAAGCCTTAGACGCGAGGGGGATAAAGTGGCCTCAGACACAAAGGGGAATGATGGTTGAACGACCATGTCCCAAGGGAACAAGAGGTAGTTCTTGTAAAATGCCAAATGTACATTTTTACGTTTAGTGTGAGTAGGTTCTGAATTACACTGAAGTGACTTCGAGGAAAGAGAGACATTTACGATAGCTAATTTTGTTACTGTTTTTGTTAACTTTGGTAATAGAGCATTGGTAGATAACTTAAAGGCTCATAAACGGTAAAAGTTATTTAAGGTCAGGCCCTGAAGTATACCTCTCCCTCTTAAAGACCTAGGTCAAGCCTGACATTTTTTGCCCATGGACTCCAGTGAGGCTTCCTTACAGCTGCCTTTCTCATTACAAGTACCGTTTTGGATGAGTCCCAAGAAAATCAAGGGCTTTTTGTTTGTTTGCTGTAAACGTCTGATATTTCTATGCTGACTTTATATTTACTGTTTATAATATGCATTATACCCTGTTCTTTGTCAGATATTGTCAGCCACTTCCATTAGCGTTTATTCAAAATTTAACATGCAGTGTAGTATCATTGTAGCTGATTTCCCGAATGCATGCAGAAAAATGGTTTCAATTTCTGTTGTAGGAACTGCCTCCTATCTCTGCATGGTTTCCACTGGAACATGGAACCCTAAGGGCCCTGATCTTAGCAACTGTACCTCACACTGGGTAAATCAGCTGGCTCAGAAGGTTGGTTGGAACCTTTTAATATGATACACATTGGTGATTAAGGGCTTTAACGTCTAACATAAATAATTTAGCTTTGTGTGTTAAAACCGGCTTCATCGCTCTTTGTTCAGTACAAAAATAAAAAATTATGCATAGTTTTGTCTGTAAACTATTTATTCAAAGTTACATGTTTTGGGGCATGCTGTTTTCTATGTTGAGCTTTTTAATGAGTAGATACTTGCTTCTTTTTTTTTTTAATTTCATTCATATTCAGTTTGTTCTCTTTCTTTTGATGTTTGTAAGACAAATGGTCCATTGGCCTAATAAATCACATACCATTAAGTTTGAAACTGAATCCACAGAATGCAAGCAGATGTTTATATCACAGATGATTATGATAGAATAAGTAAAAACGACTTTAAAAGGCATTAGTAACTTTAATATTACAATGCAATGCAGTGACATTTTAGTTTCTCCTTCGTCATCTACCTTTCTGAAATGCAGGCAAGCAGTAGATAATAACTCCCAGTATCATACTGATTACATTCTGATTTAAATTTCTGGATCATTGGAAAAAATAAATAAGATTTTTAAACAGCAGTTTCAAATGGTGGCAGTGAAATGAGAAAGCTGTCTGAAAAACTTTAAAAAAAAGGATTTCTGTTTTTTTTTCTTTTAAATGTCTGGCTAAGAATTTCTTTTGTGTGCTGAGGATCTAAGACCCTTTAATCATCTGAAATGAGGAGAAAGTTATTGGTCTCAATTAGTTGCAGATTTTGACATATTTGCAAATATTTCTCTCACCACAACAAAGATACTCAGGAAAAGAACAAGAAGCTGCAGACAGGGCAAGAAATCATACTGAGATAATATAAATTGTGATTTCAGATCAGAAGTGGAGAAAATGCTGCTAGTCTCGCCAACGAACTGGCTAAACATACCAAAGGGCCGGTGTTTGCTGGGGATGTGAGTTCTTCAGTGAGATTGATGGAGCAGTTGGTGGACATTCTTGATGCACAGCTGCAGGAACTGAAACCTAGTGAAAAGGATTCTGCCGGACGGAGTTATAACAAGGTAGGTAGGAATTTCCTGTTATTTAATCAGACATTTTGTATGGCAGCTCTTGATTCCTCTAGCAATGGACTGCCAAACCTTTGCCCCCCTTGACATATACTCAGAAACAAAATTTCTAATTTGGTCAATTTCCCAAGAAAGAATTAACAGCTGAGAAAGGAACAACATGGCAAAAAAAAAAAAAAAAAAAAAAAAAATTAAAATCTCTGAGGGAGATTTTAGTTGATGGCAGACATTGCCTGATTGTGTTCAGTACTCACACTTAAGAATGCATTATCTGCACTTGGAGAGATTATGTGTTCTACATCTCATATACTCTGTACACTAATACATGCAACTCATGTTTCCACTAAAATTGCGACGCATAGGGGAATGTTAGCCACTGTAATACTGCTTTCAATTTCAGGTTTTGGGAGAAGGGCAAGTTTCCCTCTCTAGGAGGATAGTGTGTTAGTGCTCTTAATTTTTCCTAATATGACAAAAATTTGGTAGTTATTTTAACCACACTATAAAATAAGCATAGGAGATTCATATTAAGCCAAAATCCATGGCTAATATGGTGTTACAGGGTTAAAAAAATAGACATTTTTGTTTCTTATAACCACATATTTTGTCTCTGGTTTTATCATGATACTTTGGATTAGTACACTTAATAAAATGCAGCTATGAACTACAAATAGGCAGTTTTGGCAATCGGTGTAAACTCAAAAAAATCCAAAGGACTACTGTGCATAATAACCTTTGAAGTCAGGAATGCCAGCCTAAGTTTTGAGGATTTCTTTTTCCCTCATTTTCAACAGATAAAATCTAACCTCTGATTTTCTTTTCTTTTACTAAAAAGCTCCAAAAACGAGAGAAGACATGCAGGGCTTACCTTAAGGTATCTCTCCTGTGCTGTCACCCTGCTTTCTCCCTTCTTCAGCTACCTGCCACGCTTTATCATCTTGCTGCATGATCCAATGTATTTCAGTCTTTGATAATTATATAATGTGCCCCATATCAGCTGTACAAATGTTGGCTCTTCTCAGGTATATTACTCTCAGAATAAGCAAATAATTTACCTTTATAATTTTTGCTCTTTTTCCATTCATCCAAACATACAAGAATTTTAATGAAGTGTCCTCTGAATTGGAAAGTAATCATGTCGTCTCTCTGTTTCCTGTTGTCATCTCTATGGATTAAAAAACAACTTGAGTAAAACAGCTATGATATATTCTTGGCAGTTTATCATATCAAAGACTGTATAGTCATAATGTATGTGCATGAAAAAGTCACAGCTTTCTTATCTCCGTGGTGTACTCTTAAATAAAATAGGCTTGTCCTGAAATTTTTAGGAGTCATTTCTAGAATCAGGTTGATATGGGGATGGGTTACTAGAAATGAAATATAAATAATGTGACAGTGTTATCATTGTATGTTCTATGTTGGTTTTTATCAGGCTAACAGAAACAGAAAGCCACTGTTTGGCTCAGAATCCTTGTTCACTCCAGCCAGTTTTTCTCCCTGGTATATCCAAGTAATACGAAATGTGCTGAGGCCAGCAGTGGACTATGCCATGCTAGTTCTGTGGGATAGATCAGAATAGCGTTACCAGCTTGCGTTTTGTTTTATTACGTGAATTTTAGACGTTTCTTTTGGGGTGATAGTTATTTTCTAATCGTCCTCATCTGAGGACCATATCCTTCATAAATCCAGCCTTAAAGAACTTACCCGTATACATATGACAAAAAAACAAAAGAAGCTTGTAGTTTTGTAGAGTAGCAGTTATTCAAAAGCCATAACTACCAGTTTTGGTTGGCAAGCTCTAGGAAAAAAAAAAAAAAAAGCGGCATATCACTAGTTTGTAATAGACATTGTTGGACCTGAGAACTTTACGAGAAAAGGTGGTGGGAAATTCTGTTTTTAGGTAGTAATATTCTGAATGTTCTTTTTAGCCTGTTTAATGAGGGCAAAGAAATAACTGCTGGAGTGTATAGAATTTGTCATATTGAAATTTTCAGTTCACCTTTAAGGTATTAGTTAATGTGTGAAATGTAATAATTGGTATGTTGCCCAGTTCATATAGCTCAGTGGGAAAAGAATAGCTTTTTTTCTCTGGCAGGGAGAGACTATTTAAGGAATATGATTAGACTAATGATCATTTTTGATTCCACTAGAAAAGTACAAATGGTAATAAATAAGGAGTGTTTCAAATTAATAAAAAGCATGTCATCAGCGAGTTATGTGTGTATGTAGTAAGTTTCAGCATGACCTTAATTTCTGACCAGTGTCATTTTCACTATCTCTCAAATGAGCTTCTCTGCTGAGATAAGACTAATAAAACTCCTTAAATTACAAATCAGAAGCTGACTTACACTATGCAAATGAAGCGAATTCCCACTTTGTGACAGAAGATTCATTTGTAACTTAGATTAGAGACTCCAGTCTGTATTTCTTGGTGACTAATGAATCTGGCCTTGGCAGACCAATTTCTGTTCCACTCTAGTTAATGGCTGCATCAGTATCACTGTGAACATTTTGACTATTCTGTCTCCCATTAGAGAGAGAAAAAAGCCTTTAACGCCACTTGGAAGTATCTTCCACCTGCCAGGAAGGTCGTGGTGGCTCACAAGGCAGACAACGAGGATATTAAGATGGATTAAGCTAATTAATCTTACTCTGACAGTAGCTTCAAACAACTTTTCCCTCTGCTTACTTCAATATCATACCTCAAACTAGTAATTTTTGTTGTTGTTCTTTGTACAATGTATGTTCTTTTCCCTCAGTGGATTACCAATAGATCAAAACAATTTATATATGGTCTTAATGACGTATTATGACTAGATAAATGGGATAGAGTAAATAAACTTAGTGATTTCAGCTATGCAAGGCATAGTCCATGAATAACTATAGTATCAGAACAAAAGCCTGCCTTCAATTGCTTAACGGACTGTGTTTTATTTTTTATTTAATGTTATTTTGCATGGTAATAAACTAAACCTACAAATATGAACATGTACAACTTGGATGTTTATGACGACCTTATTCTACTTTACTTAAATTATTTCATTAAAATCTTTCATTAAATTATTGGTATAGGCTTTAAATGTTTTGATCTCTTGATTCTTTTAAAAACAGATCATTGTTTATGAAGGTATGTTCTCCAGTGTTTTCTAGCTGGACAGGGAATTAGAAGAGTGAAATATTCACAGATAATATATAAACTTTGAAATCAACTTGTTTTTTTCCCAATGGTCGTAATTAGACAATGTTATAAGGCATAATTTTGGTTATTATTTTAGTTCAGGTTCCAAAAAACAGTATGGTGTAACTTTCAAGCATAGGTATCAGGCTATTCCAGAGACATCAGTGTTTTCTATTTAGAACATTTAAACCTTGAGGTTATAAATAGGAGTGACTATGCATGTACCAGTAATACCTCAGGTTAAGAGCTGACATTGGTTGTGCCTCTTTGACAAGTATCAACAAGCCATCTTTTCACATTTATCCTTTATAATCTAATAGCAGTCTGCTAATCTGCAGTTAGTTTTATTTTGAGATGGTAAGATTATGTTCCTAATTGGCCAGATATAGGTGTTCAGGTGTTCTTCCATCTTGAAATAAGAGTAAATCATCGTGACAGATAAACATTACAATTGTCATTAGTCAGTGATTGAAAATCATCTTGGTACTAGAAGCAGTCAAAACTAATGGTAGTTTTCTAACGGATGCAGGCAATTGTGGACACAGTGGACAATCTTCTGAGACCTGAAGCTTTGGAATCCTGGAAACACATGAATTCTTCTGAACAGGCTCATACAGCAACAATGTTACTTGATACACTGGAAGAAGGAGCTTTTGTCCTGGCTGACAATCTTGTAGAACCAACCAGGGTCTCAATGCCTACAGAAAATATTGGTAAGTGAATACATTGTCAGGGATAATTTTGATTTAGAAGATATATGTGTAAGAGAATGATGCTTCCCTTCTGAATCTGTTCTTTCCCAAGGCCAAACTTCTCTTTTGTCAAATTATTATTGATCCCACTTCATAAAATTAATGCAAAAGCCAAAATCTGTCTCTATCTTTTAAAAGTTGGTTTTATGTAGGTTTTTTTTCCCCCAACTGAAAAATCATTAAAGGAAAGAAGCTTAGAGTACTTAAATGCCAGAATATGGATTGCATAAGTAATGAAAGTGCTTGCTATGGAACTGTGGCAAATGCTTTTCCATTTTATATAATATGTTCCTAATGAATTTAAATTACTTTCTGGAATGTGTTCTCCCAGTCAAATATTTTAGGCACACAGAACTTGAGCCAAATATTTATACTAAACACAACTGCCTTCAGGTGAAAATGTGGTCAGCGAACTACATCTCCCATAATGCAGACTATACATGCTTCATAGATTGCAAAATAGCTGCAGATAGTTTTGAAGCATTTAAATTTAGAATTTAAATGCTGGCCATGAGAGGTAGGAATTCAGTTTTGATGATATTTGAAAAAATATAGTAAATACAGTACAATTATATTCATTTAGGCTTGACTGATTTAGAATTGTTGGTTATTCAGGGAGGTTGAACTTAAATGAAATTTATAATATCTTTTAGTAAAGTAAAAAAGTTTCCCAAGCATTAATGTAAAAAAAAAAAAAAAGCCAAAAGGGAACACAGATGACTCTTCCCACCAAAAGAGTGCATCGGCACCACAGATACTGAATGAGGTATTGCTCTGAGAGAGGCCATATCTCATTGCCTAATTGTGCCTGCCTAAATCATGGGACTTTGTATTTTAAGATGCAGAAAATAAAGATGTATAGAATCAGATTATGATAACTGAATTTAAATTCAAAACCTTAAGTTTATTTTAAATAACTGAATTTTTAGAAAGAAAAAAACTATTATTAAAATGATGTTTTTATGTACTATGAGTTTTGGGGATGATAAATAACTCAATAACTTCAAATTAAATGAAGTCAAGATACATAATTTGGCTGGCAATGATCTGGGATACCAGTCATAGGGAAAATGATGCTCTACTATAGCTTTAGTAGTAATACAAAATGAATAAAGCTCCCTGTTTCTGTCTAAAGCTTTCATTATATTTGGTTAATTTATTTGCTGGTCTCATAAAATTCCTAGGATGTACTTTGAGCAGTTCTTCTCAAATTTTCCCAGCGATGTACCTATAAGGATAAAAGAGTATAAACTTGATCATCTTAGAGGATGAATCATAGAAACTATTATCTGAAGTGGCGTGTTTTGGCCTACATTTGTTTTCAGAATCTTCCAATGGCTATTTTTAAAAAAACACCTAATATTTCCCTCCTACACCCTCTCAAAGTATGCAAGAACATTTGATGGGCCAGGGTGACATGCTATGCCCGTATCAGCTTCACATATACAGGACACACTATTACTAGATATCTGAGATATTTCTACACCAGTTTGAGATGGTCTAAAATGTAAATGTCCAGGAATATATTTTTTCTAAAATCTGTTTTTCAGAATTCTAAAGGATTAGTCTTCACACTGATTTTTTTAAAAATTTTGATGAAAAAAGATGGGGCACCTGGCTAGGTCAGTCAGTAGAGCATGTTACTCTTGATCTTGGGGTTGTGAGTTTGAGCCCCACATGGGGTATAGAGATTACTTAAAAAACTAAAAAAACCTTTAAAATTTTTAAAAAGAACATTGTGGGTAAAGATTCTTATAGAATGTAGTACACATTTTACTGACTTCTCAAAAATAATGCCCTGAACTTACCATATGCATGTAGATTACCCAAGAATTGTCAGTACAAAAGTCATTTTACATCTTCTAGTGTAGTTATGTTTTTGTTTTGTTTGTTTCTAAAATACAATTTTGTGGCAGATATCATCCATGATTTAGAATGAGGAAAGCATTTACCTTTTTCCTAGGACTTGTTCTTTTTTTTAGACATGAGGACTAAAATAGTCTATTATTCCTTTATCTCCTCACTTTCCTGAAGCTCTTATCTAAATTTAGGGCATGGCTACAATATCTTAGGTTATTAAGACAATTTGATTTACTCCTTAGTGATTTCCCCTTGAATCCCTAGTTTAACTTCATTGTGTGATTTACCCTTATAATACATGACCTCATAAAAATGGTACAATTATATCTGTTATAAATATATCTGATTATAGCTTTTTAAAGTCAACTTGGAGATATAGTCTATATACAATACAAGCAGTTGTCGTAAGTGTGCAGTTGATGAGTTTTGAAAAATGCACACTATGTGACCAACAGCATGGCCAACATTCTGTCACCCCAGAAGAGCCCTTTATTCTCTTGTTGTAGATCTCCTCATACTCCCAGCCCCAGGTGACCACCGATCTGTTTTCTGTCACTGTAATTTAATTTTGCCTTCTCTGGACCTTTAGTTGAAGAGTATCATACAATATGTACTCTTTTTGATCATGCATTTTTACACAGAATAATGTTTTTGAGATTCATCTGTGTTGGTAGGAGCATCTGTAGTTCAATCCTTTGTTGCTGAGTAGTATTCCATTATAAGGAAACACCACTATTTGTGTTTTCACTCTATTAGGTGCTTACATCATTTCCACTTTTTCACTGTTATTTGTAACGCTGCCATTTTTGCAAGTGGTTGTACAATTTCATACTCTTAACTGCTGTGAGACTGCCAGTTACTCCACATCCTCACTAACATTTAGGATGGTCAGTCCTTTTAATTTTAGCCATTTGGTTTGTAATGTCATCTCATCCTGGTTCTATTTTGCATTTATAGAATTGCTAAGTTGCTTATTGCTGATAACTATTCAACTCTTATGTGCTTATGGGCCATTCGTGTATCTTTTTGTGAAGTGTCCATATATTTTGCCCACTTCTAATAGGGCTGTTTTTCTTCTTAATAATGAGATTCTTAATATATTCCTTATATTAAGTCTTGCTGGATATATGTACTGTGAATATTTTCCCTCGGCATGTGACGTTTCTTTTTATTTTCTTAATGACATTTTAAGAGGAGCAGAAGTTTTTCGTGTTGCTAAAAAATTACCCACCTTCAACAATGTCTAGTTAATCCTATTTCACTCATTTCTCACCATTGTATTATAAAGCAAATTTTAACATATTATTACTGTAAATACCTTACTATGCATCCTATGCTTTAAAAAAAACCATGTCATTTTCATACTTTTAACAATTAGCAAAAATAGGTTCAAAAGATAACAAAAGTATGTTTAAATTTACTTCATTTTTGTAAATTTGTTAATACGTAATTTGCTTTGACCAGGATACAGACAAGTCCATGTGGTACATTTGATATGTTGCTTAAGTCATTTCTCTCTACATCTTTTTTTAAAAAACGTTTTCCTTTTTTTGAAGAAATTGAGCAGATGATTTGTACTATGAAATTTCCCACATTCTGGATTTGGCTGTTTTCATCCCCGCTATATCATTTTACATGATTGATATATACTGTAATTGGATCTAGAGCTTGATCAGGTCAGGTTTAAGTTTGTTTCTTCATTTGTTTTCTCCAAGAACTTTCCAGTGCATCCTGCAAAAGAGGCACATGTTAGGTTGTCTCTCTTTGTGACCTTATGATTGATTAGGTAATTTAGGTGTTATCAGCCTAATCCATCCATTATAAAATTCCCTATCATTTATTTTCCCAGTGTGCTTAGCAGCCAACATGATTGTCAATTTAGACTTAGTTATATTGTCGTAAAAACCCCAAAGACACAGCAGCTCACAGCAGCAAAGGCTTACACTCCTTCAAGCCACGTCACCATTGAGGCTCGACTTTGGCTGTGCAACCTGTCATCTTTAGTCAGCTCCATATTGTTTGTACCTTGGATTCAGGCTGATGGAGCCCACCTGGAATGTTGCAGATCTTCTAGCAGAGGTCATAATTTTTCCTCTGTGTTCTCTTTTCTTCCTCTCTCTTCTCATTGCAGCCACTACTCGGTAATGAATTTGAAAAATACAAGGACAGAAAAATATATGAAAATACCATCTACGGCATTGGTTGTGGGGGAGGATTTCCTATGAATGAAGTGTATTCAGTGTCAGGAAATATGTTGTAAAAGGCATATATTATTTCAAGCATACAGAATATATAGATACAGAGAATATCATAAATAATCTGTATTCCAGTCACCCAGCTGAGCCACATCTTAGTATTGTACCATATTTGCTTCACATTTGGGGGGAAATAAATAGTTATCGATAATGTGTGAGTCCTCTGGATCCTCTCCTTCTTGATCAGATCAAGAAGGGTGTAACCTTTCCTTAGTAAGCTTTTTTTTTTCTAATTTTGCTCTACAACTATGTACATTTAACAATTGCTTTTTATGTTCTTAACATTAATGATTTTACACTATAGATGTAGTTGTATAATTGTCCCTAGCCATTATATTTTTATACTTATGCATGTTAATATGTGCATCTCTAGTTCATTCTTTCATTTGATCTAAGATACATCACAATTATTTAACTATGCCAATGATAGGTTTTTTAGTGGCTTATGCTTTTTTGCTAATAAGGAAAACAGTGAAGGGTTTTGTATGTCTTTGTTCTCATATGTATGTGCCTTTCTAGACATATATGAATACACAGAAATAGAATTTTTGAATGGTAGAGCATGCCCACCTTCAACTTTATTAAATACTGCCAAGTTGCTTTCTAATATTGTTTACCAATTTACATTCTTAACTGTTAACACCATTGTTCTCTCCCCATCAGTCTCTTTGCTAAATAACACTTTGTTATTGACATAAATGTTATCGTTCTAATGGGTTGAATTGATCACATTATTGTTTTAATTTACAGTTCTCAGATTACTTAATGCCTTTATTGGGTATTTTAGATTTCTCTCCTGTGAGTTTATTCTCCATGACTTTTACCTATGCACCTGTTTCTCTGTAGTTAATGCATTCTGGACACTAATTCTTTGTAGACTATATAGTTTGAAAACGTTTCTCTTTTTTACTTTGTTTATGGTATATTTTGTTTTACAGAATAATGAAGTCAAATTTATCAGTCTATTCTCTTAGGGTAGGTGCTCTTGGTATCTTATTTAAGAAATACTTTCCTTTTTGATGTCCTCAAGAAAATTTTCTCCACAGTCATACCTGTAACTTTATAAATGATCTTATATAAGCCTTTAGAAATGATAAAACTTTGCCTTTTTATAATTATGTTTTAATCTACCTGGAAATGATTTTTATTTGTGGTATGAAGGAAGAAACTAATTTGGTTTTTGTTTTCTGGGTTTTTGTTGATAATATGTTGTTTCAGTGCTTTTATTAGTTCAACATCATACCTTTCCCCAGTGGTTTGTAAGGATATCTCTTTTGTTTCTATACATGTTAGAAGTGTGTTATGCATTGCTCCTTTTGTTTTTGTTTTGATAATATTATTATCTGGTGAGTTCTTTCATTTCTGCTCCTGGAGGAATTGTCTTAGCTGCTTTTGGCCTGTCTTTTCTGTATGAATTTTAAAATCAGTTGCCAAGTTCCACAAACTCAAAAATCTTTTTTTTTCCCCAAAATGTCTTGCTGGAATTTTTATTAGAATTACGTTGAAGAGGGGGTAACACACCATAAGAGACTCAACTATAGAGAACAAACTGAGCATTGCTGAAGGGGAGGTGGGTGGGAGATGGGTTAAATATGGATGATGGGCATTAAAGAGGACACTTGTGATGGGCACTGGGTGTTGTATGTAAGTGATAAATCACTAAATTCTACTCCTGAAACCAATATTACACTGTATGTTAACTAACTGGAATTTAAATAAAAATTTGAAAAAATAAAAAATTATATAAGAAGAATTAGGCTGAGTTTGTAGATTGATTTTGAAAGAAATTTCACAGATTTATTTACCTGTTAAAGTCTCCCAAATAAAATCTTGTGTAATTCTCCATTTGTTGTTAGGTCTTCTAATAAAGTTCTGTATTTTTCCCATTAATATCTTGCACTTTTAAAAATCAGGTTTATTCTTAGATAACTTGCAATATTTGTTTTCATTGTAAAGTATCTTTTTTTAAAATTACATATTCTAATTGTTTGTTGCTTGGTGTATAGGATCACAGTTGATTTTGCTGATTGCACCCTTGTTAAATTCTTTTACTTCCAATCATATATAGAAGCTCTCTCAAAATTACTATGTAGTTAATTATATCTTCTGTAAACAATAAGTTTGCTTTTTTCTTCAGTCTTTACACCTTTTTTCTTTTTTTTTTAAAGATTTTATTTATTTGAGAGAGAGAGAATTAACAAAAGCATGAGCAGTGACCGGGAGGGGCAGAGGGAGAGGGAGGGCTCCATCCCCAGGGCCCAGAGATCATCACCTGAGCTGAAGGCAGACACTTAACTTACTGAGCCACCCAGGTGCCCATACACCTTTTTTCTTGAATTACTGCAAGGTCTTTTAAAACAATGCTAATAAATAAAACCCCTAAGAGGAATCATCCTGACTTCAGAAAGAATGTTTCTTGAGTTTTTCACCATTGTTTGCCTGTAGGTTTGGATAGATAAACTTTATTTGATAACAAAAATTTACCTGGGCAAGGATTTTTTTTTCTTTTATTATTTTGTAAAGTTTTTTCTTTTAATTGAATGGGTTTTGAAATTTGTTGAATTCTTCTGGTTAATAATTATTTTGTTTTTAATTTCTTAATTTGGTGAATTATATTAATATATTTTCTAATGTCCTTTTGAGTTAAACTCAGTTTGTTCAGGATATTAAAAAGTGTACGTATAATTTATTAAATATTTTTGCATCCTTTTAATAAGAGAATATCCTATAATTTCTTTCCTTATGCTGTTTCATGCATCAGAATTATGCAAGTCTTGGGGCACCTGGGTGGCTCAGATGGTTGAGCGTCTGCCTTCGGCTCAGGTCGTGATCCCAGAGTCCTGGGATGAAGTCCTGCATCAGGCTCCCTGCTCCCTGGGAGCCTACTTCTCCCTCTGCCTCTCTCTCTCTCTGTGTCTCTCATGAATAAATAAATAAAATCTTAAAAAAAAAAAGAATTATGCAAGTCTTACGAAATGAGTTGAAAAGCATTCTTTATTCTGGAGCAGTTTTTTAAGATTCAATATATATTTAGCTATCAGTTTTTTTTCTCTAATGGTCATAAACTATTAGGGTTTTTAATTTACTTTTGTCAGTTTTTTGTTTCTTAGAAGTTTTCCCTTTTGTCTGTTTTCAAATTTACTTATTGATATAAATGTATTAATTGATTAATATAAAGTTGATTATTGATTCTCTACAAAGATCTGTATTAATGATCCTTTTAAAATTCAAATTAATTTTTTACCATGGATGTGATTTTTAAGCTTATGTAAATATACATTGAATGAAATTAAAGTTTGATAAGTAAATATTTGTTGAATGAAATTAACTCTTTGAGCCTGCATGGCTCAGTCCGTTAAGCGTCTGCCTTCAGCTCAGGTCATGATCTCAGGGTCCTGGGATCAAATCCTGGATCAGGCTTCCTGCTCAGCAGGGAGTCTGCTTCTCCCCCTCCCTCTCTCTCTCAAATAAATAAATAAAATCTTTAAAAAGAAATTAACTCTGTACATGTATGTCTATATTTGGAACTTTTCACGAAAACTCAGATTTCAGTCTTTCACTCTGTCTTCTGTCTTGCTTTAAGAAAAGTTAGTTATTGGGGAAAATAAAAGAAAAGTTAATAATTGAGAGTCCCTTTCAGTGTAAGAGTGAGGCATACATTAGATGTGTATTTTTCTCTTTTCTTCCCCCACACACATGGAAGAGGAGATCACTTACCTACCCACCTGCTTAATCTTTCAAAGCATAGACCAGTAACATAAACATTTTAACCACTTTTGCAGCTTATAAAATTCTAAGATTTATATGACTCTCATTATAAACTTGCATTTCAGGTGCTTGACATGTGGTCCAATAGCTTATAAAAATCTTCCAATGTTATGATTTCATATTTACAACTAAATCTACATGTACTTTACAGAACAAATTTGTGAAAGATTTAAAAGAATAAATTATTATCCAAAAGTTACTATAATGGTGTAAGTCCATATTTGTAATAAGAAAGAGGGTGGGTGAATTCATCATATCTGTGTGTGTGTGTGTGTGTGTGTGTGTGTGTGTGTACAAACACATAGACATATTTGTACAGGTATAGAAATAGCTACACAAAAATATATACCATAGAGTGAAATTCAGAGTAAAATGTATGAACTGTATGTATTGAAAAGTATTTGTTACTTTTAGAAATCCTAACATATGAAACTAATGAATTTTGTATATAATTACTCTAATTTCATCAATCAAATGACATTTTCTAATTACTAATATAAAATAGTTGACTTTAGTAGAAACAAGAATACTTTTCCATTCTTTTTAAAAATTAAATGAGTATTGATGAATAGTGATGTAAAGTATTACACTCTTTACTGGAATTACAATAGACATGTTTATGTTGATGACCATTAAATATACATATATATTTGAAAAAAAGTTTAACAACATTGGTCTTGTTGATTAGGTAGATGTTCTTAGTGTTATAAGTTAACCTGTTTACCTTTCCATGATTTTTGAACTTTGGAATAGAGTATAGTGGTTGGTAAATTTTTACTATTAAGGCCTCAATAGTATATATTTTAGGCAATTATACCACATGGTCTAAGTTGCAAATATTTAACTGACATTATAGCACCCAGGCAGCCATAGACAATATGTGAATGAGCATACATGGTTGTATTTTACTAAAACTTTACTTACAAAAAAAGGTGGCAGGCCAGATTTGGCACACAGGGCCTGTTTTGCCCAACTTAAATATATAAACATTTATAGTTACTAGTGAGAATTAATGGGAAATTTTAACATAATGCCAAACATTTTCTCATAAATATTCTGTGCTGGTCTCACCATGTTTAGAAATTAGAGAAAATCAAGTATTGCAAAATTGAACTGCATTATGCAATCTCATTATCTGTTAAAATGTATCATATACAAAGAAATAAATGTCTACATGCAATAAAGGCACTCTAACTTATGCTTCTTATTTCGTTTTGCCATTGTCAAGGAATGTTCATTGAAAAGTTATTTAATGTAAAAAGCTAAAAATTCCTTTTGAAATATGTTTATTTTAATAATATAAATGATATAAATGAAACTTTGAAAGTTGTGCACTTTCAGCTCATACACTGTTCATATTCATAGGGTAAATGTCTGGAATTAGTTGATGACAAAAGATACAAAACTATGAAAATGTGTTAAAATTATTAATATGAAATTTTTTAGAATAGCCAAGGTTTAAGACCTCCTAATTTAGTTTGTTTATGATTTTGTTGAAATGTAACAGTAAAGTTTTCTAAGTGGAAAAAAAGAAGTAGTGGTTTTCATGCAATTATCATTTGCTTCTTTGTAGTTTAAAGAATGCCCTTTTTCCCTCCCCCTTTATTTTTTGCCTCCTTCAGTTCTGGAAGTTGCAGTACTCAGTACAGAAGGACAAGTCCAAGACTTTAAATTTCCTCTGGGCATCAAAGGAGCAGGCAGCTCAATCCAACTCTCTGCAAATACTGTCAAACAGAACAGCAGGAACGGTAAGATGGAGCAAAGTCTTAAAAATTGACAGGTTTTTTGTTCATTTAAATCTATTAATCCTAGAATGCTGATATTTGACTCCTAATATAATAATGCTACTTATCATTTAAAAGCAGATTTAAAATAATGCTTTACTCTTTCCCAAGAAACTTAATCTAAATAAAGGCCATAAGGATTTTTTCCCTTTTATTCTTATTTGAATGTATCTTATTTTATTCATAAGCATATTTCCTGTAAAGGCATATGACTGTTTTTACCTTCCTAGGGCTTGCAAAGTTGGTGTTTATCATTTACCGGAGTTTGGGACAGTTTCTTAGTACAGAAAATGCAACCATAAAACTGGGTGCTGACTTTATTGGTCGGAATAGCACCATTGCAGTGAATTCCCACGTCATTTCAGTTTCAATCAATAAAGAATCCAGCCGAGTCTACTTGACAGATCCTGTTCTTTTTACCCTGCCACACATTGATGTAAGTTATATATGCTAATGAAGTAGTGGAAGGTTATAAAGCCAGTGAGGAAGGAAAGCAAAACTTGACATGCTGGGGATGGGGACAGAGGGAATGGGAAGGTGGCAGAGAGGAAAGAAAAGACCTTTCCATTTGATTTCAAATGTTGGACTAGGTCAGAGACATAAGTTTATTTAAGTCTGTGAACATAAAATTAAATGAGCCTGGTTCAGTGATTATTAGAACTTAAGTGTATTCTTAATGAAAGCTAATTCAGTAATCAACAGGAAAATGTAAATGACTGTAATTTGTTTTAGAATGAAAATTAACTCTTACCTTAACAGCGGGATAGCCGAGTATTAACTGTTAGGACTCTGCCTTTTTGGTGTGGCACACCTTTTGTTGTTGTTTTTGTTCTTTTTGATTTTACTGATCATATGTGACACAATTGTTATCAAGCCTTGGGTTTTTAAAAATCTAGGCTTAAAGAGATGTTATTCCTCTGCCGTGCCTTAGGATGAAGTTGGGAGTTAAATCATTACACTGTGTTGGAAGGTTGTGTGCAGAATCTTGGCTTTCCGTTACAAGCAGAATGAATAAGAGCCCACGGATAGCCAAGTGGATCTCCAGAATTGGCAAAGAAAAATAAATTTGTGCAGTCATTCTGTTACATCTGCTGCAGTTGGTTCACTCTCTTAAGAACCTTGATGTTGCTAACATGTCACTTAGAATAAAAATGGGCCCCAAATCGATTTTAAAACACTTGGTCCTTATAGAATTTTCTCAGAACAAATTCATGGGTCTGATTTTGTCAGAAGAGAAAAAAAAATGATTCCAATGTACCATCAGTATGTAAAATCATAAGATGGAAATTGTAATTGTATAAAATGGGTCTTTGGTAATTTGGAGTACACTTTAGAGTGTTTCGGACTATAAAATCCCTTTTAAGTTAGATATCTGCCTTGTATATGTTTTGCTGATGAAAAACTTTATAGTCCGAAACATGCAAAGTTTAATCTAAATTACCTTTTACACATATTAAACAATTGCTGTTGCCATCTTAGAGTGTAAAACCCTAATTTTATCTTGTCATTTTATTTCCCAGCCTGACAATTATTTCAATGCAAACTGCTCCTTCTGGAACTACTCAGAAAGAACTATGATGGGATATTGGTCTACTCAGGGCTGCAAGCTGGTTGACACTAATAAAACTCGTACAACATGTGCATGCAGCCACCTAACCAATTTTGCAATTCTCATGGCCCACAGGGAAATTGCAGTAAGTATTTGCACTTCTAATTAGTAGCAGAGAAAAACCTCAGAGATTCAAAACAGCTTGTATAATAGTCCTTTCTTTGGGTGCTTATCGTAACTAAAAAGCAAACAAAGTAGTGTGGATTTCTGATTGTTTCTACACTGTCCATATATTTTAGGAAGTCTTGGCACTATATTTATTGTTACTTCTCAAAATCGTGTGTTTTACAGACTCATTCTAAGTATGTCTCCTTTGGGCAGGTGTTTGGCAGAGGCAGTCGGGGATTTAAAAAATGACCAGCAATAGGTCCTACAGAAGACTGAGGCTTCTAAAGTTTAACACACCCTCTTGAATGTTTGAATCTTGTTTTACAGCTTTTGTTTTTAAGTTTTTTTAACTTTGCACACCGTGCAAAACTGCAGATTTTGAAAGGTCAGGATAGCTCTGGAATGTTTCTTTATATTCCTTTCTGTGATTAAGGGAATGATAGCCAGAAGATAAAAAATATTTTAAGAAATAGAGCATGAAGCGCGCCTGGGTGGTTTAGTCGTTAAACGTCTGCCTTCAGCTCAGGTCATGATCCCAAGGTCCTGGGATTGAGTCCCGCATCAGGCTCCCTGCTCGGCGGGAGGCCTGCTTCTTCCTCTCCACTCCCCCTGCTTGTGTTCCTGCTCTCAGTCTCTGTCTCTGTCAAATCAATAAATAAAATCTTAAAAAAAAAAAGAAATAAAGCATGAAAACTCACAGATCTATTTTGCATTTGACGCTTAGCATTTAAATAAATATCAAAACTCAAGGGGAAAATGAAAACTTAAAATTTTTTGTTAGCCAGGAGTCATTAAGATATCAATCATTTTTAAACATAACTGAGTATCTTTTATTCTATTATATAAATATTTGCTTATGTAGGTAATTATTTCAGCCATTATTTTGAAATAATTGGATTCTTGCATTATTTTCTAGGTAAAATCTTCCACTTTCTTAGGTCATTTTTTGGATATAAGATAAGATAATATTGAAGTCTCTTACATAGATCAGTTTTGTTTTGTTTGTTTGTTTTTGTTTTGTTTTTTTTTAGTTTTGAGCCCTGTTTGAACACTTAAGAATATTCATAGAGTTTGGTATTAAAAGATGAGCTACCACATGTGAAAAGCTGTCTTAACTTTAGTTGATGCAATGATGCAGGAATACTAATGTTCCTCATACTATTTTTATTTTCAGTACAAAGATGGAGTTCACGAATTACTCCTTACAGTCATCACCTGGGTGGGAATTGTCATTTCCCTTGTTTGCCTGGCTATATGCATCTTCACCTTCTGCTTTTTCCGTGGTCTGCAAAGTGACCGCAATACTATTCACAAGAACCTTTGTATCAACCTTTTCATTGCGGAATTTATTTTCCTAATAGGCATTGACAAGACAAAATACATGGTAAGCACCCCTTCAGCTTACTGTCCTTGGATCTCTGAAAATTATTATAACAGGTGTGAATCCACACATGATGCCCATATTGATATTTGACTTTATAACTTCATAAAGTTGACAATGGCGATATTGGAGGATAATCTGTAATAAATTAAAAGACAGCACAATCGTTAGGTATTATTATTATTATGAGTTAACTCATTTCTCGTACAAAGGTGCATTTGCATTTTTCTGGGTTGTTATTGAGACATGTAATTTGAATAGAAGAGTGCCAGGGACACTGAAATGAAAAGATACTATTTTTACAGGTTTTATTTTGCCCAGTGATAATTTCTTCATCTTCTGAGCAGTTCATCATCATGAGGTCTCAGTGTCAGAAATAGTACTTATTAGTAAGTAGTTAGTGCTTTACCTTGTATTCATCTGCACTGGGATGAATTTAAGAATGCTCTGCATACGACAGGAAAAGAATGCTAGGAATTAGATCCAGGGTATTCGTCATTAAAGTGAATTTTTAAATTCTCTTACTGAAAAAATAAAAATAATATATTTGGAAACAATTGTTCTGAAGACATATGGAGCAAATAATCTATAAGTAGAATATTCAGATTTAATAGTGGATAATTCTAGAAGAGAAATTAATGTTTTTTATTTACACTTAATTTCACTAAAAGTAGTTGTGTCTTCCAGTGAAGAAATTTCTAGCACACCTGCCATTATACTCTATAAGCATTAAACTCTTCAAATTTGTCAGTGTTTAGAACTCATTTCCATTTGTTAAATTTTTTTTAAGAAACAGTAGTTTAAATAATGTATTTTAAAGACAATCATGAGCACTGTCAGTAAACACTGTCTCATTTTGGGGTGGTCTGCTTGTATTCATGTGTTCTTTTTTGTGCTTCTTGTTCTTTTCCTTTCTAGATTGCTTGTCCAATATTTGCAGGACTTTTACACTTTTTCTTTTTGGCCGCTTTTGCTTGGATGTGCCTAGAAGGTGTGCAGCTCTACCTGATGTTGGTTGAAGTGTTTGAAAGTGAATATTCAAGGAAGAAATATTATTATGTTGCTGGTTACTTGTTTCCTGCCACCGTGGTTGGAGTTTCAGCTGCTATTGACTATAAGAGCTATGGAACAGAAAAAGCGTAAGTAATTGCAAGCGACCTGAGTGTTTTTCAAGTGAATAATTTTTTAAAGCCTGTTAGCTGTCAGTGAGGGTCCCTGACAGACTAAAACAGCATCTGAAAGCTTTATTGGTAAGAGAATGGGCATGCCGTGCACAAATTACAATCAAGTCTTTTGTAATTTTCTAGGTTCAGGGGATTTGTACTCTGGCGAGGCAGATTCTAAATTATGGACTTTCTTTTTAACACAAAAGATTGACCTGAAACAAATTGAAAAAGTAAATAACTTTTTGGCCTTAGAAAGATATTAAGTAAAAATTCTTCTGAACTTAAAGCATCTGACAGGTTTAACTACTCAGTTTTAACCTAATGCTTCATTAGCTCTCTTTGTGCATCCGACCCTCTAGCTAACTCTCATTCTGAATTGTGACAGTAGCACATTCCATCCCATATGTTCTACTTTGATAATATTTTATCAGGCAGTTTGAAAGGATTAAAATAAGGCACTGTCTTTCATTTATAAAAAATATAGATATTTATGGAAAATGACAGAAGGTAGACATAGCCATATTTCTGAGGATTTTATTTGCCAGGAGCATGAATTTGCGTACAAATTCTGTTTATATTTGCCTTTGATAAAATTAGTTATATAAAGATTCCTTGGACTAAAGAAAGCTTTTTGACTAAACAGATGATGAAAGACAAATAAAAGAAATTCAGTGGGGAGTCAGTGTTACATGAAAAATGAACCACTAAGTAAAATCTGTCTTAATAAGTTTATGCATCATTTACTCTAATACTATGAGTGCTATGCTTTGATTTTTTTTTATCTCGTATTCATCCATTCCCAGTTGAGGTATTATATTTATGCTGTACTGTTTTGAAGCAAGCATAACAGCTGAACATTTTGTTTGTCTGTTATGTTCCATAGGGTTAAACACTGTAGCTCAGATACAGATCTGAAAGGCAAATTTTGAAGATAAGAACTTTAAAATGATGAGACAAATTGGAATATTGAGTTTCAAGTTTTTCTTAGTAAAATCAGAGGTCTTAAGAATTAGGGATTGGGTGTGGTGGGGTTGTTTATCCCATACGAGCATAATAATGTATGCCTTTACCAAATTTAAAACCTGTAATGAAAAACAGTAGGCGGAAGTAAATGAATTACTACTCTTATATGTCAAAGCCCACTCAGAATCATTAAAATTGTTCTTACCCATGGTAAATGAAATTTCAAAGGCAAATGTAAAGATAGTTTTGTTAGATTTTTTTAAATTCTATATTTTTTGTAATGTTGAGGATCCATTGAAGCTACTTAATGCATACTCTTCTTTTCATCATAGTTGCTGGCTTCATGTTGATAACTATTTTATATGGAGTTTCATTGGACCAGTTACCTTCATTATTCTGGTAAGCAGATGCTGTTTTCCTTTCATTTTTAGCTTGCTGCTTCTGCAGTGCTACTGAAACAAAGATAATTGATTTTATTTTTAATTTATCTATGCATCGAAGGATTTATAAATGTGTCTAGCCGCGACAGGATAAAAATACGTAATATACCTTAAATGTTATGCCATTATTGAGAGTTTATGTACTTGCTCATTAGTACTATTTCGAAAATACTCTTTCCTCTAAAAAGTACTTTTTCTTATCTAGTTTGCTACAATGTCATGTCATAATCTAAAAAAATATATTGCATGATTTGGGCCTAGTTTAATAATTAGGAATAACTGAAATGTATAGTGTATTTTGTGTTTGGGTAGTGGAGTTTTTTGCTAAGAGTTGTAGTTCAGGAAGTTATGTCTTCAAAATCTGTACTATTAGCCCTGTACCAAGTTATGTGGCATTTGTAAATTAAATGAATGTTTTGTGGAATTGAAATAACATTAGCTTAATATTTATAATATTAATTTCCACATAGTAATTTAATACTGTTAAATAAATGTCCACACCCTAAATTCTTTTTAGGGCACAAAATTTTTTTAAGCTTAGATTAATAAGCATTAAATCAATTTTAAACTCATTAGAAATAAAATTACTTTTCTAAGACTTTAAAATGCCAAGTAAAAATACTGGTCTTCAAGAAATTTTTTTAAATAAATTTGATGCAAGTTAAATATAGTGACGTAAGTTTTTTTTTTGAACTGCTTACATTACCATTAGTCAAATATTTGAAATATAGTTGAAATAAAAGGATGTAGCTAAAATATTTGGATTTTGGGATTTAAAATTTTCACTGAGTTTTAGCATTCTGTTCTTACAGATAGATGCTATTGACCATTATAAGATTGAAAAGGAAACATAAGCAAGTTTAAATATTGCATATATCTTTTAAATACCTAGTTTAAGGATTTTTTTTCTTTAAAAGAAGTGATACACATGAGCTTAAGATATTTCTATAGTTAACATAGAATTAACATGTTTCATAAAATTGAGGGAAATATGTAGTAGTTCAAGGAAATGTACAACCACTTCAAATGTATGTACTTTTGTCCTTAAATTGAATTATACACTTATACAAAGCAAAATGAAAATTTGAGGTGAATGCCTGTTTGAATCAAGCCAGTAAAACATTCTCAAGTGTTCCTAGAAAAGCTAATTTCTCATCAGAATTACTCAATCCAAATGGTTGCCCTAGTTTTTGTTCTTGGTTTATTTAATTTAACATAGCCTAAGCCATTCTCAAATTAAATGGTAAGCAGCTGATTTGAAGTGGCATGATCCTTAAAGACACAGGCTTCTCTTTTTTTTCCCCCTGAGCCCTTAGGTAAATGTATTGGTAACTTTGAAAATTGTAAAGACCATTTTAGAGATACCTAGTCTATAGAAGTATCGTGTTAACTTCTTTTGTACTAGTTTTATTTCCATCTAAAAATAAATACTGACTTTAGAGTATTAAAATTTTTTTCACTTGGCCGAAAGACTTTAATGTTCACATATAATCAGCTTCTAGTAAGAAAAGAGGTGAAGGACATTTTATTATATTGCCCATTTACAGTGTGGGCCTGCCATTATTTATTAGTCTTGTCATCATTGCTATCCTGTACCAAATCATTTAGGTTGAAATGTGAAGGGCTTTGGGGAATAGTGCTCCCAACTTTAAAAAACAACAAAGAAACCCAGCAGGTTGGGGTGCCTGGGTGGCTTAGTCTTTAAGCGTCTGCCTTCGGCTCAGGTCATGGTCCCAGGGTCCTGGGATCGAGCCCAGCATCGGGCTCCCTCCTCCGCAGGAAGCCTGCTTCTCCCTCTCCCACGCCCCCGCTTGTGTTCCTTCTCTCACTGTGTCTCTCTCTGTCAAATAAATAAATAATATCTTAAAAAAACACACACACACAAAAACCAGCAGGTAGCTATTTTGACAGTACAGATCCTAGGAGTAATTCTCCTGCACCTGCTTTGCCCTCTAATTCTCCCAACACAGAGTCAAAGAGTGGTATAGAGGTGTAAAACATTGTGCATAACCTAAATTGAGATCTAATATGATTGTTCAGCATATTTGTTGAATGTTAATATAGTTATACCACATACATCCTTCCGATGAGAAAGGATATCTAAAAGTCAATTCAAACACAAATCTTAGTAATATAAGCTATATTTATATATATAATTGGTTTATATAAATATTTTATATTTATTTTAAAAATATATTAATATATAATATATAATTATTTTATAAATATATTTATTATATTTATATTTATATAAAAGTTATTTATGTAAATATATATATACACACACACACTATATAATATAGTACTCCCTTTTAAGGAGTACTCTTACAACAAAAAGTACTCATTACCATTCCTGGAAAGTGTAGTTTTACATTTCCAACTTTTCTGAATGGAAGCCGTTTAACTTAATAGTATTAAGTAAGTGTACGTTTTTAATAATGTTCTATGAAGAAAAATAACATGCTATGGAAGCTAAAACTTCCTGCTTCGGTATTTCTATAGACTATCTTGCCTACAGGCACTAGAGTTATTATATCTATGAGAAAAGTGCTTGTAAGTAATGAGCAGTGGGAAACCATTAGTATGCCTGAAATGGTTTAATGAAAGCTTGGATCATGACACGTCAGGAGCTGTTCTTATCATTTGGACAGCTCCATCTGCATCGTTAATAATTAATTCAGTTCAGTAAGAGTTCAGCTCACATACTCATTTAGAAGTCTTCTTCAGAGAACACCTCTCTGGCTGCTAGTCCCAGGGAGGAATAGGCTTCTGCTCGGCTAACAGCAAAGATCTGGAGATACAAGTGCGGTTTTAGAGTTGCATTTGCCAGGTAGCAAAAGCTCCAGGGAGGACAAAAAGGGTCAGAACATGTGCAGTTCAGTTAGGTTACTTCAGAGTGGTGTTTCTGTTCTTCTGTCTTATCATATCCATGTCAGCACTGCAAGCTGTGGAGTGAATTTTAAGCTGCTAAGCTCAGACGGATGTGATTCAATTGAGCAGGTTGATGACTCTAAAACAAACTGTGTGCTCCTGTAATCGCTGGTACCCTCTGCTTTCTTTTAACTTCTTTGTATTTTCGTGTCACCAGTGTGGGTGACAGTTAGCTCTGCCATATCATCAAGTAGCAAATTCTGTCAGCAAATTATACTGGCAGATTATGTATACAAGAACTCGTGAAATTATTATTTTGAGATAGGTAAAAGAGTATTATTTGTCCTTAGAAGAGAAGGAATGCCCCATTTGGCAATTAACTCTATTTAGCTGAATAGGAAAATCTGTTTCTTCTGAATTGGCTGTCTTTCACATAGAATTCTATTAAGAGATGCCCGTCTACCTATTTACCTATGTGTACACACACACACACGGAGCAGAGATAAATCTGATTAATCCCTGGATGAGTTGCCTCATCTCTAAGATTAATCATCAGTGTGGGCATTTAGGCTGGTGGGTTGGCATTCAATATTGAGCACAGTCCTACGACTACTGACTTCTCTGTGAATGACTGAGTAATGACATGCACTTTCCAGGTTTAGACAAATCTTTGGATACACAGTTGTAACTCTGTCTTTTTCCTTTCTCTCTGATGCATAGCACCTTTCAGCCTATCTCAAAATATGTACTATGTTTAAGCTTAGTAGTATTTATGTTGGAAAGAAAAAAAACCCAAAACAAGTAGACAAAAAATGGCTGCATTGGAATTTGAGGGGAGAAAAGCAGCACTTCAACGGTAGAGACATTCTTCTCTCCCTGGCTTTTTGCCTGCTTTCCTGGAAGAAATAGGAGAAATTTCTTTGATGTTTGGGATTTCTTTTATTTTTTAAATGCATACCAAAGGCAGGAAAATAAATTGGGAAGAAATAAAAGGGAGGAGAAAGAAATCACTTCCTGTGATTAGAAAGGGAAAAAAAAGAAGCCCCCAAAGTTGATGGCTGGAAAGAGCCATTTATGTCATGGGGAAAATGCGAAGAAGGGAGAACTCAGATTTGCAGTCAGTACTTCATTTGAAACTAACTTTTTTTTTTTTTTTTGCCTGTAAGTGACTATTTTGGATGATAATATCAGAGATATTTCTATTTGCCCTTCAGTTTCTTATTCTGATTCCCTTAGTTACATTTTAAGAGAACAACAAAGGAGAAGAGAGGGGAAAAATATTTTACTCTACAAAATCATGACTCCTTTATGAAGAGTCTTCCTGAAAAAGATCACAACCAACAATGTTTTTTCTATGAAAATAAATATATTTACATTTTTTTAGCAGTAGAGAGAAAGAAAGAACTCTAAAACCTCATATTAAAAATTTTTTTACACTTCAGGATTTGTTCTATTTAATTCCAGAAAGCATTTCACTGTCATACATATTGGTGATAATATATAAAAATGTTTAATACCTAAGTGACATAAGTATCTTTTTCACTTCTTTAATATAATAAACACATTATCAGTGAAATTTTTAATGTGGATTTGGGGAAAAGAAAAGTACCTTATGTTTAGCGCTTTTTTTTGCCATTTTATATTATGGTTCACAGTATGTCTTGTGTGCCTTTTTTCATAACTACTTTGTCTTGAAATGATGGTATTTTGTTCTGTTGAAGATACCATTGCTTCATTATTTGTATATTTTCAAGTCATATTTCAAAGTCTAAATTAGTGTTGGATTTAACTATAAATTTCTTGGCAACCTAAATATTAGTGCACTGGTTCTAATTCTTCCATTTAGTTTTTTGAAATTGGAGAAATCACAGACATTTGTGAAACAATCTGAGTGCAAAAATCTTTCTGTGGTTTTATGATTATTTTTCTAGTAGTTTTAATTATTTTTAAAGAGATTCACTTTTAAAACATCTTTTTGAAACATTCTATTCTACGTATGTTAGAAATGACAGCCCTTTTTTGGACTCAATTATGAGTTTGTGTGATGTTTAGTTATATGAGTGGAACACACACAGGTTTGAGAAAAGAGAACTATCTGTTAAACATATCGTTTGTCTAGTGGGAGTAGGAGTGTGTGGACATTTTAGCCATTTGCTGATTATGGGATGGTAGTGTTTTCCAAAGAAATAGAGAATTAGTTACTCTAGCAAGTCGATCAGGTAGAAGTCATTTGAAGAGCACATCTCTTATGTTCAGGATTTCCTTGAGGCTGTATTTTATATATTAATTAATTTATTATTTATCTTCAACTCATTCATCATCTCTGAGTGATTTCTAAAATGGATTACTCTTTATAGAAGTAGAATCTTTTTTTTTTTTAATAAAAAACTAGTATGTCTTTGCTAGGGACTCTTAATTTTCTTGCCCAGAATAAACTGGTTCATTTTATTTGTAAAGATGCTGGGCTATGGACTCAGCTCACAGTATATTGAATCTCAGCACTGACATTATAGTAGCTAAGTAATCTTTGGCAAGGTACTTAACATCTTAGAATGTAAATTGACTCTCCAAGTGCTCCCTGTTACCTCTGGACATAGGATTATAGGTTGTTGCTGTTTTTCGCGTAATTTTCTGAACTTGTTTGTATTGTGAATATACTATATTTGTAACTAGAAAGAAGCCCTAGATGCATTTATAATGTTAAAAAACCTCAGTAGAGTGAGGAGAAAGGAAGGGGGGATGTATCTACCAGTCTGTGTTTTAAGGATTAAATAAGTTTTCTGTGTCACATTCAACTTGGTTAATCCTCAGACTAAAAAAAAAAAAAAAAAAAAAAAGCTTTGTATCATATTTAAGCTTTAATTCTATTCTTCAATGGGTAGATTTCATTTTCATTTCAGTTTTATTAGAAAATGTGTTAGTTCTGAAATAACAGATTTTAACCTGGTCGTCTTCATTGAAAAAAATATGTTGGTATGTGTTCATCCTTTCTACTCATTTTCTTTTCATAATATGATACTTTATACATCACATTTTTTCACATTCACATTCTTTATTTTCTTGTAATTTATACATTATAGTGGATAACTTTTTTCTTTCCTGGAGTATACTACTACTACTATTATTTTATTCCTGAAGGGATAATTAATATACTTAGACAGTGATGAACACCAAATTGTGGCCGCCCTATATGCTTTAGGAAATTGTGTAAGTAAAGGAAGGGGGAAGAAACAACCCTAGGTCCAGAATTATGGAATGAAAGAAATAAATGGTTATATTAGGACATTCAAAAAGAAGGGTCTAGAGATTTAAAGGATTTTAACTCTGAATCTACAAGGCAGCTTTTCTTTCCTAAGAGTTGTATCAGTTGTGTGTTTATTTGGGTTTTGTTTTGTTTTTAGGATATTTGGAGTTCTTATTTGTAAAACCACTCTCTTAATTTTACTAGTTAAGACCTACTGTTGCATAAAATAAAAAGTAAAAACACTATTGGTTTTGCCTTTAAAAAAATTAGAGATATACTGTACCATCATTCTTTAGAAACTAAATCAGATATTTACTGTACTATCAGAAGGATCTCCCTAACTTCTCAAAGGTAGAAATTGTATCTTACCCACAATACAATAGGCACATTCTTGTGTGGAGCAGTAAGGTCAATAAATATTTGTTGAATGAATTGCATTATACTGTAATGTCTCTGAAAATGTAAACATTTATTTATATCGTGACCAACTGGAATAATCATTAGAATATAAAACTAGAAAATCTATTTGCATTTTCTCTAGACAAGTATTTTAATAAGTTAATTTTTAAGTAGGTTTTTTAAACAGAGAGCTTCTTTTGTCCTTCTTTTGTTAATGTTAAGTAATTAACATGAAACGATAGAATGCTATCTGCCAACACTTGCAAATTATACCCATTAACCTCATTTTATCCCTTAAGAGGAAATTCTACATTTAAGAGAAATAATAAGGCACAGTAGACAAAATGAGTGATAAACAGCTTAGATTAAAGCCTTCACTCTGTTCCTAAACTCATCATTAGGAAGGACTTGGAAATTTTATTTATTGCCCTATATAATTTTTCCTAATTATAAAATCAGAAGTAGTGATGAATGAGTAAAATAGCATTATCATTTTATCAGATGGTATTGTGACTCAGTAAAAATGATCATCTTATTATAACAAAATTATGCTGAGTGCTTACCATCAAGGAATTGCTTTCATCCCTATTTGTCCTTTTCTGAATACAGCATTTGGGCTTGCACTCTCTAAGCCAAGTAAAGCTTACAAAATATAACTTTGTTTTGTCTTTTTAAAAGTAATAATCTGAAGTAAATAAAATGTCAAAGAAATCCAGGAGTGATCGAGCTTAGTTCTGTTCTTAGAGCCTAAAAATGGAATAGCCTTTCCTCTGTCCAGCATTTGGCCAGGTTTCTGTAGAAGCAGATGCAAAGTTGCAAACATTATCTCTCTTGAGTCAAAACATGTCTTTTCGTCTGAGTTCACTCATGTTGGCCTCCCAAGCCTACCCTCCATGTCAGGTTCCATCTTCCCTTTTTTTGCTTTTGTTTGCACCTGGATTCTTTGCACAACTCAGTGTTTAGAGGGACCCAGAGCAGCCTTCCTTCAGAATTTACCCACACCCATACAATAGAGAGGCATAAAGACAAAAGGACTGATGATGGCTTTTAACCATTTAACAAATGGTATATAACAAATAAATAGATATTTTAAAAGTTTGTCTTTCTAGAACTAATAAATATTTTTATTTTTCATTTATTTTATTTCATTTGATCCTCACAATTACCTTACAAGTAGATCGTGCAAATGTTATTATCCTCTTCTAATCAGTCAAAATCAAAAGCTAGACTCTCGGCTAAATCTTAGGGTCCCAAATCCAGCAATTCTTGTAAGCTACGTGATGTCAACGCCCCTTCTAAAGACTTCACTTCAGTGCTTCCGTTAGATGGCTTTTAGGCCCTGGAGTATGTCTAGCTAAAGAAACTAATTTAGGTTTTCTAATTTATTTAATCATCACCACATGATGCTGATTTAATTAGGTTGCAGTTTCATGTCAAATGATCTATTAAAAAAATGAATCATACATAGTTGGGGTATTTTTTATTTAGACTCAACTTGATCATTGCCTATGTAAAATTCAGTCAGTGAGTGTCTACTATATACTCATGTCATTGGTATTTAGCTGCATTAACTTGTTAAGTATATTTGCAAAACTTACTCATTTTTTCTCTGTGGTTATAGTGGCCTAATTCTTTATTTGTTATAACAGCTAAATATTATCTTCCTGGTGATCACATTATGCAAAATGGTGAAGCACTCAAACACTTTGAAACCAGATTCTAGCAGGTTGGAAAACATTAAGTAAGTATTTAGTATTTTAATTTTAGTGTTTGACAAACTAAGTGAAAGATACTCTCCACAGAGAATACATGAATGCCTTCTATCAACTGTAGAAATTTTCAGAATGAAGTTTTACTGATCAAGGTTGAGTCTCAGTGTGAATCATGTCACAGACATTGGTCAAAAATTAGATAACAGTTTCTGTCTTGATCTAGAGCCAAGAAATTGTTTTAGTGGCTTTGTGGAAATTCCATATCACTGTAGCAATTTCATTTGAATTTAAAATGCAGTTCAAAATGATGTTGCTGTTTGCATGGCTGATATGATTATATTAAGCTTGTTTTGTTAAATGACTTTTTCGATTTAAGGATTCTGAGCAGTTTTCTACTTCTAATCCTGTTTTCCTAAGATAATTCACTCTATTACTATTGTTAACTTGGAGATTATCTTTTGTTTTCATGATAATTAAAGAAATGTTTATTTCAATATTGAATAAAAACTACAATGTCCTATCAATGAAAAATGCTATCTAATTATAAAATTTATATTTGTTGATTCATTAAGTCATTTATGGAAGCATTTCCAGAGTTATCTTTTAGATATGAGTTAATTTAAAATGTGAGGAGGTATTATTCAAGTTGGTTATAATGGGAATGTGAAGAATATTTTTAATGTAAAAAATGGCAGATCTACAATAAGGGTAATTTTTTTTTTTTAAACTTAGCTGTTTTAGATAGGTTAGTGCCAGCTTCATTGCATGTTGCATGGTAAGAGAGAGAGCTAATCTTTAGCATCTCTCTTTTCTTCCTTTTCCTCTTTCTGTCTTCTCATCTACACCAGTAATTACCGTGTTTGTGATGGCTACTATAATACGGACTTACCTGGGTAAGGTAGAACCCTACATTAACAGATTTATGGCATGATTTATATTTTTTACAAATCCGTCAATATCATGAATTGCCCTTAATTTTTGTAATTATTTTGGAATATCTAAGTTGCTATAGTATTTTTAAACTGTAATATGCCTTTATTTTTTAATTGCTTGCCTCTGCATTTTGACTTTCTTAATTTTGACTAATTTATAAAATATATAAATGCTTTCTTACTACTTTCTATTTTAATTCTGTCTAATAATTTTGTTTCTCTTTTCTGCTTATAATGCTTTCTAGCTATGAAGATAATAAGCCATTTATCAAGTAAGATCATTAGTTAGACATGCAATGCACTGACTTTAAATCCTTTCCATTCCGTCCTATTTTCTACAGTTCTTTTCTCCTTAAGCTATTCATGATGAAATCTCTCCAAAATTATTTTATTTTGAAGTTGTTCTCATATTTTCGTCCCATTTCAGCAAGGCTTCTTCATGCTTTAGTTAAAATACCTTAGGTTCACCTAAGATTAGTTGATTAGAATCTGCAGTTTAGGTGTTAAGCGATTATCTGCCATTTAACCTTTCTGTATGTGTCACATTATTCAGTGTCATGAGTACACCACAGGAATAAAAAGATAGGAGTGAACTAATTAAGGACTCCTTAATTTCTTTTACTAAAATGCACATAAAAGACAATAAAGTTATGGGGGATGTTTTCACACCTTGTATTTTAATATAGTTTTGATACCTTGTTAATGCTGGAGTAAGAGAAGGTCATACCTGCTGTTGCTGTTTTCACTGGAGGCTGCAGTACTAAATGCTATTGTTCTTTCTTTAATCAGTGAAAGGTTAAAGCCAAAATGCTGGTTGAATTTGAATGTGAACATAGAGAAAGTCAACTGCTACTACTGATAATGTTAATATTTAAGTGTGAGATATGTTGTTCTCTCATTGAACTTGTTAATAAAATTCACTTTATTTTTTCAGGTCTTGGGTGCTTGGCGCTTTTGCTCTTCTATGTCTTCTTGGCCTAACCTGGTCATTTGGGTTGCTTTTTATAAATGAGGAGACTATTGTGATGGCATATCTCTTCACCATCTTTAATGCTTTCCAGGGAGTGTTCATTTTCATCTTTCACTGTGCTCTCCAAAAGAAAGTAAGTGAAGTCACCTAGAGGCTTTAGTTCCTTGTTCTTTGGTTTGAAAATCAGAGATGAAATAGAGAAGATTTTACAGTTTTACAGCTGACATAGTACTAAATAGAATCATTTTTAATCATACATTAATTGTAATGCATGTCTGGAAATTCGGGCTTCACATATAAAGTAAGTCAGTACCAATCATCTTTTTGGATCTCACTTTGGGAATATTAGAAGCTAGACACTTATGTTAAGATTCCTTCTTTGCTAGTGGGGTCTACAAACGTGCTTTGTGCAAAAGGTATACAAGATAAAGAAAAGGTTAAATAATCTCATTTTTTTTGCTCGATAAAGGGAATGCAGTGGTCCAAAACGAAATTGAGCATAAGGATAAATGACTTTGATTTTAAAAGCACCAGACATACAAAAAATTAATGTTAATGTTACCTTTTGAGTAGTTGTGGAAGATCTAAAACCCAGTAATTTAATATCTCACATCTTATTATTTTGTCTTGATTTTATGTTAACTGGAGTCAGCAAAAATGATTCAAAAATTAAAGTTAAAGATGAAAAACTTGCAAGAAGATGTAAACCTAAGAGAAGAGTTTAGCTGCCTTTTAACTAGGTATCACATCCTTTCTCTGTCTGCATATCTAATATAGTCTTTTTATTTTGTTATTACTAGTTGGTCACTAAATTGAACAGAGAAATAGAATTTTGAAAGTGAAAACTATTATGTTTTCAGTCTTGACAAGATGATAGTGTTGTTACTTCCATCAGTTGTTGAGTAAGCTATAATTTTGAGATAATGACAGTGGAATGTGCAATACTGACAGATAATGTACATTCACAGCAATATAGGCATTAAGCAAAACCAACATTGGAGGGTATTATTTGGATAAAATACCATTTTGATTGCCATTGTCTTGGTCAACAGCATTTCAGAGCAATTAATAGCCACTAAATGTACAAAAAAATTTTGTGAGGTATCAGGTGTTATTTAATAACACTGAACTTTAATTTTCTAAACATTATACAGGTATAACCTTGTAACTACTTTAGTTTTTACTATTTCTTACACAAATGAGCATTTTGTATACATACATAGCATCACATATCATAATTTCTTCCAAATGTGTTTGTTTGACATAAAGCATAAATTATTTCCTCATAGAGGTATGTTTATTAATTGAACAAAGAGATTTTGCTGTGCTTTTTAATTAACAATTACATTTTTGAAACAGTGTGTTGGACTTCCTTTTGAACACATTCTACTTAGCCTTGGATATGTCCTGTTGGGTGCTGCCAGGATGAATGGCTAAGAATATGATATAAAATGATTTAGTTAACATCACGCTTCTTACTGCTTGAGTGAGCATATTTAAGCAAAGAAAATTCTTTGAAAGTTCAAGCCCATTGTTATTTGTTCTAATAGGTGTATAATAAGGCTAAGAGGATGAAAATGCAAGTGCACTTGGATTTAAAAGGTCATCTAGTACCTCTAATGCTGTAATTTTTCAGGGAATAAGTGTCAAAGTCATGGTCTTTGCAGGCAGATACTGAGCACAGAACTGTGTGTGTATGTGGGGGGGGGCGTCTTTTTGAGTGTTTTTGGCAACCTACTAGAAAATAATTTCTCATGCAACTTCTCCTTCTTGTCTGTTCTAATTTTAGTCTGGCTCTAAGCCAGAGCAGAACTTGTTCATAGGCCAATAGAACTGCACAGAATCCAGCCCTCCTCCCCATGCCTCCCAATTCTGCACCACCTTTCTAGGTGGGGCCCTATTCTTTAGCAATTGTTTGGACTTCACTTTTTAAAGTTTCCTTTAAACTTTCTTTAGGCCTAACAGCTTTCCTGTCTATTCATATATCCAAGCTTCAGGGGAAAAGGGAAATTACATGGGTAACTCATTAATGTGAATGGAAATTGCATAAATAGTTCCCTTGTGTGCTAATGAAGTGAATAGGCATCTTGGACACTCTACACTAAATGTTAAAGCTAGACACATCAGAAAATGAAGAAAACATTCCATCCTAATTAACAGCATATGTATCAAAGTCCTTTTTCTCTTTATTCATGTGCCAAAGTAGTCTTGTCATTATAAAGAGGTTACCCGCAAAACTATGCAATCCAGTAAAAGAAGTTTATGTATTGACCTACCTAAAAGGACACGAAGTGTATAAAACTCAAATGACTGAATTACGAGTGGTTGAATGTAATTAAGCAAGGAAGGTACTAATTTTTTGTCCTTATTTTCTTAGCATGAAATATAAAATTGGGGTTGCTAAGTATATAGATAGAATAAGGCTTTAAAACGTGTGTATTAATAACATTTGTATAATAATAAGGCATAAAGCATTTCTACATATTACATCACATTTTGAAGATCCTACTAGCCAGTCTGGTAGGCAGAGATATTTTTCTGATTACTATTTCAGCAGTTTCCGTCGAGCTTGATTTTAGAAATTCGGTGTATTTGCTCCACAGAAGAGTGTTAGTGGAACTTATTCTTCTCAGTTATTTCCACTACTCATTTAATTAGAGAGAGAGAGAAAGAGAAGCCAAGTATGTGTGAGTTAATCTCTCGGTCTCCGTGGTTATTCAATACAGGTACGAAAAGAATATGGCAAGTGCTTCAGACACTCCTATTGCTGCGGCGGCCTCCCAACCGAGAGCCCCCACAGTTCAGTGAAGGCATCAACCACCAGAACTAGTGCTCGGTATTCCTCTGGCACACAGGTAACAAAGAACTTGACAGCATCTTTAATTAACCTTCTTTATAGAAAGCCTACTGAGACATGTTGTGTTCACATGCACTAATTGTCTCCTCATTAATAATGATCTAGGTAGCAAATACTTGCTTTTTTAGTATTTTGGTCTTAATTTCTTCTTAAGTATTTATTCAAGGTGTTTCTTCAGGTGTGAACATCATTTTTGAGAGCTCTCCTTCTTTAAGAAGTATATGATCATCATTTGGATACCCTGAGTTCTCATAGTGGGCACTCACTGAACATTTGTTGAATAATCAGTCACCTCCACTTTTTAAAAAGGCCGTTAAAAAAAAAAACTTTTTAAGAGTGGAAGATTAAATATTCTTTAGTTCTAGACTTCCTTAGTTTTAGACCAGCATCAACACACATTCCTTTTTAAAGGCCACCAGATAATCCTACACAGGTTGTTTAGGGTAGGTCTTTATGTGACTTTCAGAAGGTGAGCTTGGGGAAACTAACATAACATATGTTTGCTATTTTATGTTAATAGAGTCGTATAAGAAGGATGTGGAATGACACTGTGAGGAAACAGTCTGAATCTTCTTTTATCTCAGGCGACATCAATAGCACCTCAACACTTAATCAAGGTCAGTTACTAGGAAAATTTGAGCCTACAATATAAATTTTGTTCCTTTTGCCAATTTACAATAATTCTAGAGAAAATACTGATTTATTTTTCCCCTCTCAAATGGGTTTATATCACAGGCTCTTAAACCTGTTGAGTCAACTTTTATCCTTTATAAAAGTACATATAAATTCATCTTATTCAATAATGTAATGCAAAAAGTAGAATTTCAAAACTCCACAGTAACAGAACAAGGCAGGAAAAAGTAATTACTAAGAACATACTTTGCCACAGATTAAAATGTTTTCCTTTAGTGAATACAGATTTTTCTTTTCTGAGACATTTGCGAACGTTTTCTTTTTAAAATATTAATATAGTTAGAATAACTCCTATTCACGTTAAATAGTGCCAGTTTTGCGGCGAAAATTCTTATTTGTAAAATTATTTTATCTTACACTTCCTTCCAAAAGTAAAAAATAAGTGTCAAAAACATTTATAGTATATCTTCATAAGCAAATAATTAAAGACATGAGAATCTACAAAGCAGTTTTTTCTATTTGAATACTATTTTTAATGTGTTTACAACTTTAAACTCATATGAACAATATAATGCTTACTTAAAATAAGCTGGCAAATAAAATAATTTAGCAGGATAAGGACACAAGTGCACAGAGACACACAAAATCCTGAGTGCAAGCTTAGTTAATTTGAATTTGGTATGAAAAAATCATGTTATCTTATGTATACATATCCTTAAGAAGGTAATTTATCCAGGTAATTTGGATGTACTGATTTGTAATATAATAGAACATGTTATATTTTATCACAAATATTAAAGACGCTTTCCACTGTTGACATTGTTCTGATGAGATTCTGGTTTAAAATGAAGAAAGGAGTATGTATGGCATCAAAACCAACTTGAATTTTAAAATATTTTTAGTCAAATTACATTAGCGATGCAAAACATATGTTTGATAAGTATTGAAAGGTTTGTAATTTGTCAATTAGAATGAGTGAAATGTGTGTTTATTCCATTGCTCTGATGTTTTACCTAATTCTGTTAAGATGACTATCAAAAAGGAAATGAATTATTCAGTGATTCATTTTTGAAACCTGGCAAATAAGATTACAGAATGAAAATTCTTACTGTATGGAGTTTGTGAATGGTCTAATAATTGATTATACACACAGTCTCTTTCTCCCCACCTCGGCATGCGTGCTCTTGCATTTACTAAGAGAAGCTTTGTGCAGTGTGTCATACTTTTTACTTGTTTGTGGAAGTTGTTTTTCCTCCTGCTTGTGTCAAAGTTGGTATTAACACAGATGTTTTCATGAGGGATAATCCCACACCTGTAAATTCTGAAAGTTTGAGATTCCCTCTTCTGGGCCTCAGTGGTTAGGTTTTTAATATTAAGCAGTAACATCTTGAAACATAATGTTGATCTCTGTGCATTTAATTGCCATTTTTGTTTAAAAGTGATTTTGTATAAATTAGTAAATGTCATCCTCAGCAGGTGTTTACTTGGGGGACTTAGAAAGCACCTGTGAATTACTGAAATTTACCTTCCCTCTCCCCTTTCTCCTTCAAATTAGTAGTTCAAATACAGTCAGAAAATTTCAGCACATTATCCGTTGCCAACTTGTCTGCTACCCTTGATGAATACAAAAAATACTTTACTGCAACTGTAACACAAAAATAAGAGAACTGATGTATTTTTTTCTGTTTCTTTGCTTTAGGAATGACTGGCAATTACCTACTAACAAACCCTCTTCTTCGACCCCACGGCACTAACAACCCCTATAACACATTGCTCGCTGAAACAGTTGTATGTAATGCCCCTTCAGCTCCTGTATTTAACTCACCAGGTGTGCTTATACTTACAAATAAAACTACCTTTCTTTGCTGCTAAACAGAGCTCTGATCTTTGCCCTTTTTCTAAAATACTTGTTGCCATATATTTATTATTACATCTTTAATTTCTCAATTTAAAGAATTATGGTATTGCCCATGCCAGGCTTCTAAAACTGCACTATATTATAGTAAAAATTCAGTCATGATAGTATTTACCAATAATTATCCATGTTTTTAACACAGGTGGCATAAATCTTAATATATTATTACAGGACTGACATCACATGGTCCGAGAGCCCATCTTCAAGATTTATATCATTTAGAGGTATCCTATCTATGTAATATACTGTTTAGTTTACTCTAAAGCTTGCAGACAGAATTTGCTTCTGAAATGAATTAGCTGATAAAGATAATTTGGATGCCTAGGTATAGAAAACTACATCCAGCATTATCAATGTAACCAAACTATAGTATAGTGCAGCTTTATGGTAGTGTTTTTTTTTTTCTTAAAAAAAACTTTGAGAATGAAGTTAATATTAGTCAGTTTACGCCTTTAGTTTTTTATTGGGGGAGGGGGAGAGATTGTCACTAACCCATCCTGTATTACTGTGTTTTCTAATAGCTTATTAAAAAAATTAATATTAACACAGTTTTCAAGATTTCGGTGAAAGTTATCACATAATTACTGCTAGCCTATGATATTTATTTGTGGTTGACATTTGCCACTAAATTAAACAAAGAACTTTGTTTCCGTTTTTTTTCCTTAAAATTCTTTTTTAACGTAACTGCAGTTTCTCTTTTCATTCTCTTGTTTTTCTTACTTTCCTTATGCTTTCCTCTAGCAACCTACAGAGAGACAAGTATGGGAGTCAAACTTAACTTTGCCTATCAAATGTAAATTTTTTCAGCATGATTTTTAACCGGCACAATTCAAACATAACTAGCAGTCATGAAGTAGACTCAGCGGGCAAGTGGTTCACAATTTCCAACGAAACTATTACCAAATTCAAACAGTACATCTATCTGTACTGTCTTTTCTCAGTAATAGAGGTCTGTAGCAAATGCTGTCCATACTTAAGTATATGCAATGCTGAAATAATTTGCTCTTTAAAGCCTGAGGTGCTGTCAACCAGAATGCTTAATAATTGACTTATCATTTCTGCATTCCCACAGTAATCTTGCTACAGGCTGTGGAAAGTCTTCAAGTGAATTGCCTAAACTTGGGCAGAAAAAGTTACCTCTTCAAAACCAGTCAAAGATGTGCTTAAATCTGCAGTATATCATAGAAAACACCTTTTGCATTATCCAGTATATTTTTTATATTCATTAAGCAATGATAAAAAGAAAGAAAAATGGCAAGATCGAACCTCGAGAGGGGAAACAAATACTAGCAAGTGATCTATGTGTCACCTATAACTTAAAACACCAGATGTTTTCTAAATAAAGATGGTGGCACAGGCATGAATTTAGCAAGCTAGACCATTATGTCAATCAAGCTAAAGGAAGCCTTACAAATACTATTGTAACTTCATTTTGTTATACGTGGAGCCTGATAAAAATGAAATTGTCAGCTTTTCCAACGTAGAAGTTGGATCAGAGTTTCTAAAATAGCACGAGTCACCGACAGATACACCCCCCCACACACACACACGGTCTCATTTTCTGCTAATGAGGAGTTATTGAACAATGCCCATGTACTTATTGGTCATGAAATCGAGTTTTCTAGGATAATCTGCAGCTTTAAGAGTGGAGTCAGCACTAAAAAGGGAAATTTCCTATTTTTTCCAAGAATGAAATTTTTCCTCGACTCCTCCAAGCCTTGCATACAATGCAGCAGCTGCACAGTGGCCAGTCTCATTCAGTAACATCATTTCATTCTTTTTTTTTTTCCAGACCTATCTGTAAACAAGTGATTTTTTTTTCTCTAGGATTTTGAGAATGAATAACCTAACTTTACATGGTGCAGACCATTTAATTTTCTCTAAAACTTTTTATCTCCATTTGCCTGAGAAGCACTGTGATGTCTTAGTTTACATGTTTATGTGTCTGTAGAAAATACACCTCTGATTCCAAGAGAGCATGTTACCATCTTTTTTTTCCCCTCCTAAACCTCTTTTCATACCTTCAGCAGACTTATCCAATCTTTCATTCCTTTAGAGATAAAAAATATAATTAGCCAAGGCTGACACCCTTTTCCCATTCCATAGTTAATATCTCTTATTGGTTTGATTTCTGTGACCCATACTTAAGAAATCTCTAACATTTCCGCGTCTAACCTTCATGCCCATGGTGTGTCTGTGGGCCAGTCTCGTACAGTAGACTTTGCTGGTTCATTCGGTGCTGCCACTGTGGCTGATGCAACTGCAGGGCTGCAGGCAAACTTTGACCATTAGGAGCCTGGGGCCATTGCGATTAGAGAGAGTATTAGTACCAAAAGAAAAAAAAAAGTAATAAATATTAAATGAAAAAGCAAAAGGCTGCTATTGCTGGTAATCTAATTTGTTGAACCCTTGCTCTGACTAAGTTGCTGAGAAGCTTAGAAATTCTTCATCATGTTACAATAAATCATTTTACTTTCTTTTATATATCAGCTACTCTTAGGCCAGATAGCCTGAGCAGACAGACATGATGTGAGTTGTCCAAAGTGAGTCATTCCACCTGCTGTCTATCGTGTTGTTGGATGGTGCTTGTGGGCCCTTGGTCCAGTCAGTATGAGAGATGGCTGTCTTTGTTTCACATGAATTCTTTGTATCTGTCCATTTTTTTTCATTCTTTTTTTTACTTCATCTCCAGAAAAAGGAAATGTTAGAATGTTGTTTAAAAAGTTGCTTGCCAGTTATGTGGGTTTATGTTGTACATTTGCCTTCGGTTTTTGTATGTGACTTATTCCTTTTTAATTTAGTGTTGTTTAGGACAAATTCTGTTAATTTTATTTTTATAAACCATAGTCTCGTACTTTAAAATGTAAATGTCACTAATGAATTGCTTTGCATTAACTATGCAAGGGCATGGAGTGAAGTCTTCTTTGTAAAGAGTGTCAGAGAGTTGACCAAAAAAATCAATCAATTGATAACCACTGTCTCCCCGAAATTGATGAAGTACTATCCCGTATGCCATCTTCCCTCCCTGGAAAATAGTATTATTCTTTCACACTTTTTCCTATTACCTAAGGGGTCGCAACTGTTTACAGTTGGGAATGCGGGAGAGCCTGGCACTGTTCAAGGGTTAGCTTTTAAATACAACTTTGTCCTGAACGACATTAAAGAGTTTTGTATGAAAGAAGTAAAGATTCTTTGGGAAGGAACAGAGGCAGTAACAGACCCCCCCCCCTTTGCCGTTCCAGGACATTCACTGAACAATGCCAGGGATACAAGTGCCATGGATACTCTACCGCTAAATGGTAATTTTAACAACAGCTACTCACTGCGCAAGGGGGACTATAATGACAGCGTGCAAGTCGTGGACTGTGGACTCAGTCTGAATGATACTGCTTTCGAGAAAATGATCATTTCAGAGTTGGTGCACAACAACCTGCGGGGCAGCGGCAAGACTCACAACCTCGAGCTCACGCTGCCAGTCAAGCCTGTGATTGGGGGCAGCAGCAGCGAAGATGACGCGATCGTGGCCGACGCTTCCTCGTTAATGCACGGCGACAACCCGGGGCTGGAGCTCCATCACCAAGAGCTCGAGGCGCCGCTCATTCCTCAGCGGACTCACTCCCTTCTGTACCAGCCCCAGAAGAAGGCGAAGCCTGAGGGGACGGACAGCTACGTCTCCCAGCTGACCGCCGAGGCTGAGGACCACCTGCAGTCCCCCAACAGAGACTCTCTTTATACAAGCATGCCCAACCTCAGAGACTCTCCCTACCCGGAGAGCAGCCCGGACATGGAAGAGGACCTCTCTCCGTGCAGGAGGAGTGAGAACGAGGACATTTACTACAAAAGCATGCCAAATCTTGGAGCTGGCCATCAGCTTCAGATGTGTTACCAGATCAGCCGGGGCAATAGTGATGGTTACATAATCCCCATTAACAAGGAAGGGTGTATTCCTGAAGGAGATGTTAGGGAAGGACAAATGCAGCTGGTCACGAGTCTTTAACAGTGCAGCTAAGGAATTCCAGGGGCCACAGGCAAGTGTTAATAAAGACTCCGTTGGCCCACTGCAGCTCCCTCACACTCTGCTCAGAGACATGGCTCTGTTGACCTGTGGTTCTCCAGTGTAAAAAGGTGACTGAACCTTGAAGTTCTGTGAATTTTTATAGAACGTACAAAAACTTTGTATATACACAGAGTATACTAAAATGATTATTTGTTACAAAGAAAAGAGATGCCAACCAGGTATTTTAAGATTCTGCTGCTCTTTAGAGAAATTGTGAAGCAAGCAAAACAAAACTTTTCCAGCCATTTTACTGCAGCAGTCTGTGAACTAAATCTGTAAATATGGCTGCACCGTTTTTGTAGGCCTGCATTGTATTATATACAAGACGTAGGCTTTAAAATCCTGTGGGACAAATTTACTGTACCTTACTGTTCCTGACAAGACTTGGAAAAGCAGGAGAGCTATTCTGCGTCAGTTTGGAGCTCGCTGCAAATCTTTTACATTAAGGCAAAGGTTGAAAACATGTTTAACCACTAGCAATCAAGCCACAGGCCTTATTTCCTATGTTTCCTCAACTGTACAATGAACTATTCTCATGAAAGATGGCTAAAGAAATTATATTTTGTTCTATTGCTAGGGTAAAATAAATACATTTGTGTCCAACTGAAATATAATTGTCATTAAAATAATTTTAAAGAGTTTGAAGAAAATATTGTGAAAAGCTCTTGGTTGCACATATGTTATGAAATGTTTTTTCTTACACCTTGTCATGGTAAGTTCTACCCATTTTCACTTATTTTCCACTGTACACAGTGTTCTGCTTTGACCACTTAGTCTTTATTCTTACATTTAAATTTCTTATTGCCAAAAGAATGCCATTTATGGGGGAAAAAAAACTTCGAAGCCAGTTACGCCATGCCTTGCACAAATGTGGTGAAATCTAGAAAAGAGTGTGTGTTACCCCTCTGTTTATTCTTGAACAGAGGGCAATGAGGGCACTGGGCACTTCTCACAAACTTTCTAGTGAACAAAAGGTGCCTATTCTTTTTTAAAAAATAAAATAAAACATAAATATTACTCTTCCATATTCCTTCTGCCTATATTTAGTAATTAATTTATTTTATGATAAAGTTCTAATGAAATGTAAATTGTTTCCGCAAAATTCTGCTTTTCTTTTCATCCCTTTGTGTAAACCTGTTAATAATGAGCCCATCACTAATATCCAGTGTAAAGTTTAACACGGTTTGACAGTAAATAAATGTGAATTTTTTCAAGTAGTTAACGTGCACTTTTATGTATGATACCTAATTGGCTTTAACACACTGGCACTTTCCCACCACTCCCCCCCCCACTCCCATGGCATATGTAGGTCCCTTCATAATAATAACCCACGGGTATGAGAAAGAATACAGTTAACCTGCCTGGTGGTTCTGTGTGCTGTCAAGAATACATTTGTATTCAAACTGCCCATGACCCATGCACAGAATCTGGCAGAAAAGTTTCAATGGAGAAATCTACTGAAAATACTTTTGCTTGTTGCATTGCATCAGGACTAAAACAAAAATTAAAAAAAGAAGGGCTAGAAATTCTACAATCAAATTTGGGCATCATAAAAAAATTGATTTTTCAGCAGAATTGAGAAGAAATTCCTAGGGCATACTTTTACAATTTGAGGATTATAACTATCCCTATAGGCTGCGAATGACAATATTTGTTATCATGGAAAGGTTCAAAAATCATATAATTGAATCTCAACAAATAGATTTTTCCTGTCTACATCATAAGCATTTATACCAAATTCTTCTAAAGGGTAGTGGTTCTCAAGTGCTTCCACTAAGTTAGAAATAACTTTATTTTTTGTGTGGACATACTTCATCATGCCTATTGAATTGAAAAAGAATAATGAGAAAAAATTTTTCAAGTATATATTCATATATCTAAATACAGATAGAGTAAGGCAGACACTATATAATAAAGTATCAGTATTTAATAATAGGGTAACAACAGAGGGGTATATTCACATAAGAGTTAATATTTAAGTTGGAGACTGACATAAGAAATTGTATTAATATTCAAACAGATTTAATAATCCTCTGAGAAGGGTATTTTTATTTCTTTGGCTAACATTCTTCAGGAATTTACAAAACTTTATTTGGGGGCATTATATAATTAAAATTAACGTTTTAATTTTCTATTTTGTTAACACTTTTTTCCTATCAAGCTATACAGTGTTGTGTGATACGTACTTCCCAGTATACAAGCTAACTAGGGTCGGGCTGGTTCAGTGATGAATTACCAAAAAAAAAAACACTGATTATTCAGTTAGTACTATTTCTTTCTCTTGAAGCAGTTCTTAAAACTGATGTGATGTGACCAGGTACGTAAGTACATAGTACCTAAGTAGTTACTGTTCTCTTTAGAAATGCTAATTTATGATGAGTCTGTATTAGAGAATACGGTCTGGAATCTTTCATCTTCATCACCAAAAGAAGAATCATTTTTAAAAGGGATTTCTTTTTAAAAGTATATAAATGTTGCCTTAAATTCCATTCAGGATGTCCCCTAGTACAAATTAATTTCTTATGTTTAAAATTATTAATCTACTGACTGACACATTATTCTGTTTATTAACCCAATGGTTTCTTTGGGACTCCTCGGACTTCACCTGGATATAGAATTTCCACATTCTTGATTGTTTCTCTTTGCAATAGTCACAACTGTGAACTTTTATTCACATTAGTGTACGTATTCTCAGAGACAGATACAACTGGTCTACTAGTAATAAGGAATTTTTTTCCATTTATTTAGATGCAGCTTGATACAGATTAATTCAGATTGATCTCCTTTATTTTATTTTAAAATATAGGCTTGGTTTTGTTCTTTTCTACACACACACACACAGTTCATTTGTCTTACAGGCTTTTAAAATCATTTAGGTATAAGGAAGAGAATCCATACAAATCTATAAATTACTTAAATAGTCAATTCAAACTCATCCACATTTATTCGAGGGTAGCTATATAATATTTTAACCAGTAAAACAACAGCTGCACGTGTGTGACAAAATCACCATCACTATCTTCTCTCCACAAAGAAAAGTATTTTGCACAAATTCATGAACAAATTTAAAAATATGCATGTGCACTTGTTAAAGGGGTATATTCAGGATGCCTGCTTTATTTAAATGCGAAAGGAGAAAATGTATGTTTCCAACAATTCAACTTTGAACTGCAGTCTTAAAAGTGACCTTCAAGATGCTCTCATAGTATAGAGTGTTTTGTAAGAATTTTAACTCAGTAAAATTTTTATTGCAGTTTTCGCCTAACTAGAAAAGCTTGAATGAATGCATACAAGTTGAATTTCTGCAGTGAAAACAGCTCTCCATATTTGGTTTATAATGAAATTTTCTTTAAAGACAGTAATCCCTGCAGTATTTTACAAGTAAAACTTAGTACCAAGTGTTCACACAATCCTGTGTTCCACATATTTCTCTTTCCATGAAATTGTTGCATTTAATCTCACATTAGTGTGAAGAGTTACTAGCATGTTGACTACAGCTGAGGATTGCTTCACAGGGTAATCAAATTAGTGTGCTTTTTGGTGAAAATGCCATATCTCATGCTTCCTGCTAGTAAGTATCAAGTTGCTTTTGAGTAGTCCTTAAATAGTATGCATTGGCAGACAGGAAGCATTGGTGGTTTGCAGATTAATTCATGACAGTCTTAATTATCACTTGAATGGTGTGGAGTGAGGATTTTCTGTTATGTCACTTTGAGTCTTTCTCCAAATGATCACAGAAACACATTATGTTAGCTAAATGCACCAAACAGAAAACCTTAATGTTTAGGAGATCACACGCTTAACCAACATGTACTTTGTGCATATTACTGGTACTTCGTTCCAAAATGTATGGGACTGGTGGAAATTCCTGCACGTTACCCAAGTACATTTCAAGGCACTGTGGCCACCGAGCTTTCAAGGTCAGGGTAACATCTCTGTCAGAGTGTATTAATAATAAGCTGTAGGTGCACCATATAATGAGGCTCGTTAAGTCTATAAACTTTTTCAAATATTGGCAATAGATCACCCCTCATTCTTAATAAGGTTTCCTGGAATCCTTGTCCTTTTCCTGATGGCTTTACTGTTTACTGAGTGTGCCATTTTTGAGAAAGAAGTCTCCAGAGGTCAGTTTGATTTTTAAAGCCTATTGTTTTAACTGGTAAAATTTTTCTGAATTAATACATTGTGGATGCTGTCGGGTATACTAACACTTAACATTAGAGATCACTGTATGAAATAAACAAAACAGATAACCCAGTACAATGGAGCTGACCAAAGTCTTTACCTGCTAGAGAAAAAAAAACCTGCCTCATTAATCTTTCACACATTTCTCCTCTTATTTGCTTATTGAAACTCTAAGACCAAAATCCCTTAGAAATGTTTTTTGGGTTTTTTTTTTTGAAATGTTTAAAAGGCATAGTCTTAAGCAAACCAATGTTGTCTGAGCATAAGAGACCAGTGTTGAATGATCATGGTTTGAATAGTTTTCTGAATGTTTTTCATAGGCCTTTTTAAAATCATATGTCAGAACTTAAGCTTTTTAAAAAGCATTTTGGCAGTCACAGCAACATGGCTTTGTTGTTTGATTTTATTAGGCATAAAATGACTGGTCTTTTGATATTCTTTTAGAAAGGCTGACAGCTACTATGTAGAACACCCAGGAATAATAATGATAGGTATCAGAGATATTGATTAGATGAGAGACTCATGTTTTTCTGCTGAAATATCAATCCTAATAGCTTTTAAACCAAAACAGAGCACTAGCACACAGTAAATTCAACAGTATAATGAAGGAACCACAAAACAAGAATTGCTGTGTAATTTTTAAAAGTATCTCAACCTAAATGATGTCCCCCATTTACTAATTTTGCGTATTGCAACAATAAAAGTGCTAGAGCCTACCATTTAATAGATGCTTCATATGTGCCAGGCTTTGCGCTAAATGTCACGGGCTTTATCTGCACTCCATCCTCTCAACACTCCTCTGAGAAGGGTACTCATTATCCACTTTTGCAAAAGAAGATAAATAATTTGCTTAAGGTCTCACAGCTGGTGAGGGGCCGGACCTGCGCCGGTGTGATGGTTGTTTGGCTACAGAGTCTGATCATTTAGCCAACATAGGTCACCTGTGGTTTTACTCGGAGTTCCAAGAATATTCTTTATACTTCGTGGACTCTTTCTCTGGCGGTAATCAGAGAGGGTTGGCTTGTTGGTTGATTGGCTTTGAGTTTATAGGGCTGTAAAGGAAAATGAAATAAAGAAGTCAGTTAATTAAGTCAAAGTGTTCAGAAGAAGGTACCCAGATAAAAGACCATCTATTTACCTCAATTTTTAGCAGAAGTGGGCACATTATCTGAGTGCTAGTCTAATGTAAAGTTTACTGGTTACTAATTTACCATTTCCCTTGGAAATAAAAGGTCATCCTGAGGGAGTTGTGACGGGAAAAAGAAGCAAAAGATTTTGATTGAGGATGTCGAATTTCTAGTCCTCACCTGACCAATAAAATAATACTGGCTTATTCAGTCAACAACCACAAAAAATGAAAAACAGTTTATTCAAGTACATGCTTTTTATTTTCCTTCACAATCAAGCCATAATAACAATGAAAAATCAAATTATTTGTGTTCCCTTAACTCTTGTAATAGTTAATATTGTTTTAAATTTAAATGGTATATAAGGTGGTGTGTGTGTGTATTTGTATTTAGGGCTTTTCAAGTTCATAATCTAGCATTTTCTTTAACATTTGGCCAGAGACCTATTCTTTCCCTTTGAAAAATGAAGTTTGTTGGAAATGTAGTCCACTAAGGCAGGTATTATCCCAAGCTTTCTGATTTATTGCATTAATTCTCACAACTGTTGAAGGTAAATATTCTTACAAGTGAGGAAACTGAGTTAACCTAAGTACATCAACTTAGCCAGCTGCAAGTGGCGTGTGGGAACTGGAACTCAGCTTCATGCCACTAAGTCCCAGGCACTTAAGCACTGTCCTGGGACGGTCAGTCCGCCTCAAGCCATCCCCCACCTCCATCCCAGCCGTCAGGTAGTACCAAAAAGCCATGTGCACCAACTTTTCTGCTCATTAAGTAGCTAGTCTTGGGGTGACAGAGGTAAAGGAAGAATACCCAAGGGATCCGAGACTTTGTCCTGTGGGCTCCTGTCCACTTAGACACTGCCTCTTCCCTGTCCCCCATCCCCCCCCACCGGCCACTGCACC